GCAGCTCCTTTAATTGTTTGTTATTGTTATCACGATTATTCTTTAAAATAAAGTTATATAGTCATTAACGTTATTGAAACTGACAGCTGCTATACAGCTCGTTGAGAAATGAGGTTAAGTTGGTCGCTATAAGCTGCTCCCTACGTCCAATGTGTCAGAGCCAACTTCGACCACGTTTTTATTTGAACGCTCGTTATAAATGGTCACGCTACTCATTGTTAGGTCTACAATACTGGCAAAGAGTGACCTGATATTTCGCAGGTACAATGGAAGCAAAATAGTGCAACACTAGACGAAATAAAGCCTTTAATTAAATATATTGTGGGAAATAACTACCCCGCGCACTAATGTTCCGACCACTGCTGAGTTATACCAGTAATATGATACAAAAACAACTCTTTATTGTAAATTTGCTTTAAATTTTAAACAGGGAAATTGAAGTACAACAAAATCAAGTTTTGGACACTGCTGACTAATGTTTGAGTAAATTTGATTTAAAACCTAGTATATTAATATCCAGTTTCAAGTTTCATTGTTTTATCATGACCGGTTTTGGTTGTATTTGGGAAAGAAAGATTTTCAAGGGCTCACATTTAAGGAGCCCTTAGGATATATTTTCCCTTATTTATTCGTATCCGTTATATCTGTTATTTCTACGTATCTATTATTGTGCTTTTAGCATGATACCATAAAATTGTCAAAGTTTGCCTTGGGATTTCTGTCTCTTGTCCTGAGAAAAAAGTTGAGCAAATTTTAAAATTGTTGTTCCTGTTAAGATAAAATTAATTGTTTTTTAACGACACCCTGTCTTTTTACCAAACTTTCAAATACTTAATTTATTTTTTTTAGGAAGTGAACCAAGTGGCACATGGAGGGACTGTCGCCTGCATAACTTGTATATCAGTTTCAAAGATTTAAAATGGCAGGTAAGACAACAATATATTTTTATGCGGTTCACTCATATTGGTTATAGATAAACAGTATTATAGTTGAACACCTATATTATGATATAATCGTAAAAAATTATTTAAAATTATATTATTTAAATAGAGCATCTTTAACTTCTTGAATTTCAGGACTGGATCATAGCCCCAACGGGCTACTCCGCCTACTACTGTTCGGGCACGTGCAACTTCCCCCTACATGGTCACATGAACGCCACCAACCATGCCATCGTCCAGACCTTGGTCCACTTGACAAACCCTAACCGATACCCGAAGCCCTGCTGCGCCCCCTCCAAGTTGACACCGATTTCCGTGTTGTATTTCTTGGATGACACTAACGTCATCCTCAAGAAGTACAAGAATATGATGGTGAAGAGCTGTGGGTGTCACTGAGAGATACGGGTTGATCAAGAGACGACTATGTGCTCAATAATTTGAATGGACGAGATTTGTAGATAGTAATACTAGTGATATTAACTGCTATTTGTTTTATACATTTGTACAAAATGACAAATATATGGTTTATAACAGGATAATCACAGTGTTTTATTACTAGAGTTCGACATTTTTCCGTGTAAATGAGGCGGAGAGGTGCCACACGAAAAAATAAATCGATTCTTACGGCTGCCGTACGGGGTATTTTTATATTGTCCAGTTTTTATTTGTGTATGTAATTTTTTTAAATTTGTCTGCGTATTTCGTTAATACAACACATTTTCGAATAATTGCACTTTCTTTTTTACAACAGAAAAATAACTAATCGGAATGACGTTGATATACAAAAGTAGTAACAAGTAAACGTAAATTAAAAACAAAAAGTAGGTATGCAAATATGTTTTAAAATGGTTATAGATGAAAAATAATAGTGTCCGTTTTATTATTTATTTCGTGTTTTACGTATTAAATTTAATTTGATTTTCACAAAAGAGTTAGTTTGTTTTTATTCTTTTTCTTTATTTATTTTGTATTCTTGTTGTTCTATTATCACCGTTGACAAGAAGTAATCACGTAAAAAACAAGGGAGCTTTTTGTTACCACATTTTAATTAATTAAAAACGTTTTTAACAACGTTAGATAAAATATTCATGAAAAAAATTGAGCCAATACACATCTTTTATTCAACCGTTACCTAACAGTGATTTTTTCTACCTACTTCATATTCGGACATAACCGTAACAGGTCTAGTCGCTTTTTTTCCTGTTGTATTGCAATTCGGGTTCGATAATCCTGACACGCCTGTTTCAAATCAGCTGCCGTAGATCTGAAGAGTGGTCCAACCGGTCTCAATAATATGCGACCAAACTGCAAGAAAGTATTGCCAAATCAGGCGAGATTTGTTAGCAAGATATGAATATACCTATCATGTCTTGTTTCGGTTTGAAAATATTTATTAGTTTCTTAGGATCAAAGTTGGGTGTGTGGGTAAAATTAGTATACACTATTATTCGTCAATATATTCAAAACATTTTTTTTTTTTTTAGAAAATCAAGTTCAAGTTTTTTTTTCTCTTTGACAGTACGGAAATATTGTGTATAGCAAAATTGGAAACATCGGCAAAATTTTGAGGAATTCTCAGACAATTTTCTAATATCCCCTGTAATTTATTTTATCTCATACAACTGTATAAAATTATTAAAAGTGTTAATATCGATATATTTTTTCATTCTATGAACAACATAAAAAAAAATTGTTTGTTTAGTAAATGTAATCTCGTACAAGATAGGTATTACATACTGAGCTTGCTATGGACAACGGGAGGTAAGTGAGGTAAATTACCTCCCTAGGGAAAAAAGCGATTTCGAGTTATAAATGCATATTTTCTGAACAAATAACTGGAAATATTTGATGAACATTACATTTTATTAATTATTATGAATGAATATTTATAGTACTTAATTGTAATTACATTTACTGACATTTATAAAATCTGGATAATTATTCCCCTCGCGTTTACTAATTTTCACATTTTTAATAAATGATTAAATGATGAATAAATGATTTGACCGCTCCATTTCAGTTATCGGAGGCTCAATATTATCTGACTGATCCATTAAAACAGCATGATGCGACTTACTACTAGAACCTGGAATTGAAGTGTAATTGTAAAGAATCCTGTTGACTATTTCGTTTTTATTACTTAAACTGCCAGCAACATAACTTTCTGCAATGTGGCTGATTTCCACCCACCATGCCTCTTGATTGCTAATAAATCAACTCCTGTATTAGCCAATAACCTTGCCGATGTTCTTCGGAATGAATGGCCTGTATATGTTTCAGGATGTTCTAGTTTCAAAAACTGTGCAATCTTGTTGGGAATCATGGAAATGGTAGTCTTGCCGATTGGTTGGTTGTAACATCTACCTGCCCGATAGCGAATAAAAAAGCGTGAAATTTCAGTTTTAATTTCCAATCTAATCTTGACATATTTCTTGAGAATTTTTAGGTGAGAAACAGAACCCAGACGAGAAGTAATTGTAAACGTACGTAACATACCATTTTTAGAATCTGGAATTATTGTAGTTACAATAATGTCATCGAAATTTTTGAAATTGACGTTGTCCAAAGTAAGTTTGCATAATCAGAACGGCATACTCCTGTAATGTCTAAGACCATCGCTACCTTCATTAGCAAATATGTGTTATTGGGTGCCTGAACGAGAAATCGTTGACTTGTTCTCTTGTAAAAACGTTTGACTTTTAGGTGTATATAGTCGAAGAAATGAAACCCTGAACCTCCGAAATCTGCGCAGTAAGATGGATCGTGATGCGGTTTTTTGCATTCGATTCGTTAGAGCGTCCAGAAAGTTTATGACCCTATGTGATCAATGAGAAATGAAAATTGCATCGGTGCAAAAGAAAAATGCATTTTTCAAATTGCATCTCGAAGAGTTAAAATATGAAAAATTTATAATTCGGAAAATATTGACGGAAATGAGTTCAATTTTGCTATTAGGGAGTTTTTGGGGTCGCTGAACACGAATATCACGGCAACGGTCTCCGAGGTACCTAGTGTCCAGGGTGGCCGGAGTTTTGTGGAAATTCGTTATAAATTTTTCATTTTCTCTTTGAGATGCAATTTTAGAAATGCATTTTCCTTATGCACCGATGCAATTTTCATTCCTCATTGATCACATAGGGTCACTAACTTTCTGGACGCTCTAACGAATCGAATGCAAAAAACTGCATCACGATCCATCTTACTGCACAGATTTCGGAGGTAAGGCCGTTTTTAGTGCTTTATTTCTTCGACTAATAGCCGTCATTCTTACTTTTCAAAAATGTTCTCAGCTTGAGGTATTTTGATATATGAGAGCCCTAGTATCAAAGGCGGCAATCTCCACCATTTCCANAGGTCTACAATACTGGCAAAGAGTGACCTGATATTTCGCAGGTACAATGGAAGCAAAATAGTGCAACACTAGACGAAATAAAGCCTTTAATTAAATATATTGTGGGAAATAACTACCCCGCGCACTAATGTTCCGACCACTGCTGAGTTATACCAGTAATATGATACAAAAACAACTCTTTATTGTAAATTTGCTTTAAATTTTAAACAGGGAAATTGAAGTACAACAAAATCAAGTTTTGGACACTGCTGACTAATGTTTGAGTAAATTTGATTTAAAACCTAGTATATTAATATCCAGTTTCAAGTTTCATTGTTTTATCATGACCGGTTTTGGTTGTATTTGGGAAAGAAAGATTTTCAAGGGCTCACATTTAAGGAGCCCTTAGGATATATTTTCCCTTATTTATTCGTATCCGTTATATCTGTTATTTCTACGTATCTATTATTGTGCTTTTAGCATGATACCATAAAATTGTCAAAGTTTGCCTTGGGATTTCTGTCTCTTGTCCTGAGAAAAAAGTTGAGCAAATTTTAAAATTGTTGTTCCTGTTAAGATAAAATTAATTGTTTTTTAACGACACCCTGTCTTTTTACCAAACTTTCAAATACTTAATTTATTTTTTTTAGGAAGTGAACCAAGTGGCACATGGAGGGACTGTCGCCTGCATAACTTGTATATCAGTTTCAAAGATTTAAAATGGCAGGTAAGACAACAATATATTTTTATGCGGTTCACTCATATTGGTTATAGATAAACAGTATTATAGTTGAACACCTATATTATGATATAATCGTAAAAAATTATTTAAAATTATATTATTTAAATAGAGCATCTTTAACTTCTTGAATTTCAGGACTGGATCATAGCCCCAACGGGCTACTCCGCCTACTACTGTTCGGGAACGTGCAACTTCCCCCTACATGGTCACATGAACGCCACCAACCATGCCATCGTCCAGACCTTGGTCCACTTGACAAACCCTAACCGATACCCGAAGCCCTGCTGCGCCCCCTCCAAGTTGACACCGATTTCCGTGTTGTATTTCTTGGATGATACTAACGTCATCCTCAAGAAGTACAAGAATATGATGGTGAAGAGCTGTGGGTGTCACTGAGAGATACGGGTTGATCAAGAGACGACTATGTGCTCAATAATTTGAATGGACGAGATTTGTAGATAGTAATACTAGTGATATTAACTGCTATTTTTTTATACATTTGTACAAAATGACAAATATATGGTTTATAACAGGATAATCACAGTGTTTTATTACTAGAGTTCGACATTTTTCCGTGTAAATGAGGCGGAGAGGTGCCACACGAAAAAATAAATCGATTCTTACGGCTGCCGTACGGGGTATTTTTATATTGTCCAGTTTTTATTTGTGTATGTAATTTTTTTAAATTTGTCTGCGTATTTCGTTAATACAACACATTTTCGAATAATTGCACTTTCTTTTTTACAACAGAAAAATAACTAATCGGAATGACGTTGATATACAAAAGTAGTAACAAGTAAACGTAAATTAAAAACAAAAAGTAGGTATGCAAATATGTTTTAAAATGGTTATAGATGAAAAATAATAGTGTCCGTTTTATTATTTATTTCGTGTTTTACGTATTAAATTTAATTTGATTTTCACAAAAGAGTTAGTTTGTTTTTATTCTTTTTCTTTATTTATTTTGTATTCTTGTTGTTCTATTATCACCGTTGACAAGAAGTAATCACGTAAAAAACAAGGGAGCTTTTTGTTACCACATTTTAATTAATTAAAAACGTTTTTAACAACGTTAGATAAAATATTCATGAAAAAAATTGAGCCAATACACATCTTTTATTCAACCGTTACCTAACAGTGATTTTTTCTACCTACTTCATATTCGGACATAACCGTAACAGGTCTAGTCGCTTTTTTTCCTGTTGTATTGCAATTCGGGTTCGATAATCCTGACACGCCTGTTTCAAATCAGCTGCCGTAGATCTGAAGAGTGGTCCAACCGGTCTCAATAATATGCGACCAAACTGCAAGAAAGTATTGCCAAATCAGGCGAGATTTGTTAGCAAGATATGAATATACCTATCATGTCTTGTTTCGGTTTGTAAATATTTATTAGTTTCTTAGGATCAAAGTTGGGTGTGTGGGTAAAATTAGTATACACTATTATTCGTCAATATATTCAAAACATTTTTTTTTTTTTTAGAAAATCAAGTTCAAGTTTTTTTTTCTCTTTGACAGTACGGAAATATTGTGTATAGCAAAATTGGAAACATCGGCAAAATTTTGAGGAATTCTCAGACAATTTTCTAATATCCCCTGTAATTTATTTTATCTCATACAACTGTATAAAATTATTAAAAGTGTTAATATCGATATATTTTTTCATTCTATGAACAACATAAAAAAAATTGTTTGTTTAGTAAATGTAATCTCGTACAAGATAGGTATTACATACTGAGCTTGCTATGGACAACGGGAGGTAAGTGAGGTAAATTACCTCCCTAGGGAAAAAAGCGATTTCGAGTTATAAATGCATATTTTCTGAACAAATAACTGGAAATATTTGATGAACATTACATTTTATTAATTATTATGAATGAATATTTATAGTACTTAATTGTAATTACATTTACTGACATTTATAAAATCTGGATAATTATTCCCCTCGCGTTTACTAATTTTCACATTTTTATTAAATGATTAAATGATGAATAAATGATTTGACCGCTCCATTTCAGTCATCGGAGGCTCAATATTATCTGACTGATCCATTAGAACAGCATGATGCGACCTACTACTAGAACCTGGAGTTGAAGTGTCATTGTAAAGAATCCTGTTGACCATTTCGTTTTTATTACTTAAACTGCCAGCAACATAACTTTCTGCAATGTGGCTGATTTCCACCCACCATGCCTCTTGATTGCTAATACATCAACTCCTGTATTAGCCAGTAACGTTGCCGATGTTCTTCGGAATGAATGGCCTGTATATGTTTCAGGATGTTTTAGTTTCAAAAACTGTGCAATCTTGTTAGGAATCATGGAAATGGTAGTCTTGCCGATTGGTTGGTTGTAACATCTACCTGCCTGATAGCGAATAAAAATCAATTCAAAACCAGCAAAATTGCAACTTTTATGTAGCTTTGTTTATAAACACCTTAGAAACGACAAAAAACCAAACAACTTTGCAAGATTTCGAATAATGTCAAAATGAATTGATTAAGAAATGTCAAAAAATAAAATCTGATTTTTATTTCATGAGCCATAAAGAAATGTGGGAGCAGATAAAATGTTATACACCACGCAGCAGTTAAGTATAATTTACCAGTCTCGGAGTCTATTGCAAGCCCTCGCTCCGCTCGGGCGCAAAATCTTCCTAGACTGGTAAATAATACTTCCTTAATAGTGTAAATAACTATTTATTTTCGTTATTGTTTATATTTAAGTTCTGCGTCTCAATTTTATATTTTGACTGCTCTGTCTTGTTCCTACTTACTGTTAGTTAGATTTTTTATTAAGTAAAGCTTTTCCCGTAATTGGTACTTTATCCCGTTGGGCATCGTAATTCTAATTTCTAATTAACCATAGCTTAGGAGTTCTAGTTTTATCTCCCGAAATCCTTAGACTTACAGGATCCGTTATAGTTAATTAAAAATATATCAGCGTGCCACGCGAGATTTCCTCCTCCAAAACTCCCCTCCATCAGCTGATTAGTAATCAAAATCGCACACAAAGCAGGCCGTGCACAAACAAGCTCGAAATATACGTCGGTACTCCGTAGTCTCGCGGTCGTCTCGTCAAGTCAAGAAGGCCTGGACAGCTGCAACATGAGGTACGCGCTCGTTTTTGTTTCTGCGATTCTGTTGTTTGCTTGCCTGGCCCACTGCGCGCCGGCCGACCAGACCAACGTCAGTTCGGATGCCAAGTGTAAGTAGCCTTTTTTTGTTTTCATAGTTTATGGTTCTTGTTCTTTCTTGCATTTCGCGGCCTACTTTGCTGGTTGCGTGGAGGTTAAGTGAAAGTTTGTTTTGCTCTCGGCGTGTTTTCATGAATTATTATTTGCCTACATACTTCCGTATGTGTACGTAATATAGTGGGATTGAATAACATATTCTATTGTCATAGCTCTTGTATTTTTTTTCTCTAGGATTAATAGACCAGGGCGGCTCTGTCGAAATATCCCACCTTTTGGATGTAAGAGGGGGCAAGCTAATTTTTGCTGGAATATCTTCAGTACAACTCACATAATAATAGTGTAGATCCCTAGATCTGGGCGCGGGTCGAAACAATTTCAAAATTGCAAAAATGTTTAAAAAATTAAGAAAAAATACCTACTTTGTTTGATTTTTTTCCTTATATCTTGGAACCTGTGCATTTTGGAAGAATATTGAAGAGGAAAAAAGTTTTAGGATTTAATTTTGCACAATATACTGCAAGTTAAAAATGTTTAAATTTATTACCGATGTTGCAATAATTGGTAAAAGGCAAAATAATCAAGTTTCTTGGATATTTTTTTTTAAATATTTTAATTGCTCCTAGGACATTCTAATTTTGGTAAAAAAACTTTAGAGTATAATAAAACAACACACCCAATTTCATTAAAATCGGTTCGATAGTTTTCGCAAAATAATTTTAAATTTTGAAACATTTTTTTCGAATTTTCATAATGTTGCGCAGCCTCAAATAAAGCATCTAGACACTTGAAAATTTTTTCAGATAGAAAAGACCGCTCAACCTTGCAAATGGTTTTTGAAAAATTGAAATCGGTTGCAGTTAATTTTTAAAGTTAACACTTTTTTATTTTTAAACAATTAGATTACATTTATCAATTCGCAATTTAGTTTTTTTTCAAAAACTATAATTTTAAAGTACCTACTCGGAAAGACGCTTCTTTTTTTTTTAAAAAAAAGTTAAATTCCGTTTATTGGTTCTCGAGGTAGAAGCGGCCAAAGTTTATCGGAATTTAGCGTTAATTTATAAACAATTTAGCAATAATCTTTGATCCAGTGGCTTCGTTTTTCCGAGTTCTAAGCTGGAAAAAGTTATATCCATAAGTTATCGGCAACATAGACAAATCAGCGCAAAAGTTGTCGTTCGCACGCGCGAAAAGTAACTCAAAACACGAAAAGTGGGGGAGGGGGCTTTCGCTCCGGGACTGAATTTGGAGGTTCAAAAGGCACGAACAAAATTGCAATATCTCGGCTTCGAATATCGTAATGCCAACTGTCTAATTTTCACATATTTTGTTATAAACAAAGTTTATTATTTATGTATTAAATATACTGTATATTTTATCCTATGCTCTTGCATATTTTCAAGGAAAAAATTTTTTTACGTATATATTTCAACACTGAATATGAATGTATTTAGTCAGGGCCGTTCCTGGGCAGTGTGCTGGTGGTGCCCCGGCACCAGGGCGGCCGAGCTACAAGGGCGGCCAAAATTCAACTTTTCTGTCCTGGTTTTCCCCAGATTCCTAATTAAAAATATTTAAACAATAGCAGCAAAGACTGCAAAAGATAAAATGTATAATAATTTTCGTCTTATAAAAAATGTAGTATCGGGAATTAAAAAAAGGCATTTTGAAGCTTTAAGATTCTAGTTTTTGAGATATTTCGGTCGAAATTTTTTAGAAGCTACGGTTATCATGCAATTCTCAGAAATAGCGTGATAAAAAAATTTTGCAAATTTTCTTTTTTTTCATCAATTTAAACGTTATTTGCGGTAAATGTGAAAAAACCTCAAAAAAACTTTTCCCATTTGAATCATATTATAAAGTGTTTAAGCTCAAAAAACGTGACCCTTTAATTGTTTTCAAAAGTTTGATTATTTGAAACAAACAAACGGGTCGCTAAATTGAGATGAAACTTCACAGGGTTCTTCTGGGTACCTATGTCGAACTGTAAAAGTCATGTTTAATTCTAATTTAGCCGTCAATTTTCTAAAAAACCATAAATTACCCTTTTTTCCTGTTTTTTAAAATTCGTGTAAAAGATAAAAAATGTTTTTTCCGAATGTTTATATAGGAAATTTATTCCAGTTTTCGAAACTGCCCTTCAATTCTCTGTACGAGCATTTGTCGCCGAGATATCGATGATTGAAAACAAAATGATCCTTTTCCATTAAAAGTCCGATATTTCGATGAAAAATGGTCGTATCGAAATTTAAAAAGAAAGGAAATTGAAGCTGAGTAAACTAGCTATCTGGTACATACAATCGCTAAGCTGAAAAAAAAATTTCCAAGTCCGTGGACTGGAAAAAAAAAGATAATTTGCAAAATTTTTTTGTCGCGCTATTTCTTAGAATTGAATGACAACCGTAGCACCTAAAAAATTTCGACCGAAAGATCTAAAAACTAGAATCTTGGAGCTTCAAAATGCAATTTTTTAATTCCTGATACGACTATTTTTTACCTAAATACAGTCTGTCAAAAATCACGGAAAAATTTCGAAAATTCTTTTGACCCTTTTTTTTATGCACCAGGGCGGCAAGTACCCCAGGAACGGCCCTGTATTCAGTTATAATTATTACAATTATTTAAATAATTTTTGTTTAAAAAAAATTAAAAAAAAAATTATTTGGAAATTAATTTTTTTGTTAAATACAGATAAAATTAAGAAAAAATAGTACTTTAAAATTATAATTTTTGAAAAACTCTAAATTGCAAATTGATAAAGCTAATTGTTTAAAAATAAAAAAAAAATTCAGAAACTATTTGAAAGGTTGAGCGGTCTTTTCTATGTGAAAAATTTTCAAGTATCTACATTATTTATTTGAAACTGTAACATTTTGAAAAATCGAAAATTTTTTTCAAATTTTTTTTCAAAAAATTATCGAACCGATTTTAATGAAATTTGGTGTGTTCTTTTATTATACTCTAAAGTTTTTTTTTACCAAAATTAGAATGCCCTCGGAGCAATTAAAATATTTTAAAAAATATTCAAAAAACTTGGTTATTTTGCCTTTTCTTCATCAATTATTGCTGTTTTGCAACAACGGCAATAAATTTAAATATTTTTAACTTTCAGTATATTATGCAAAATTCAATTCTAAATCTATTTTTCCTTTTCAATATTCTTCCAAAATGCATAGGTTCCAAGATATAAGTAAAAAACTCGGATAAAATAGGTATTTTTAAAAATTTTTTAAACATTTTTGCAATTTTGAAGATGTTCCGGACCTCGCCCAGGTCTAGGGATCTACACATTTATTATGTGAGTTGTACTGAAGGTAATCCAGCAAAAAAAATTGCTTGCCCCCTCTCACATCCACCTCAAAACAGATTCTCCTTGGTCTATAACCTAATTCAAAGAAATTCAAAAACTTTTTCCTAAAAAAGGTATAAATCTAATTCAAACAAATTTGTTTTTATTGAGATTGTATTCATTTGAAAAAAAAAATTGTTTTAAGACAAATAAATAAAAAATAACCATATTTAAAAATTATTCACTAGAAGAAACTGACATACGAGCTTTACTTCATTTTTACCATTTCTTTCTTTTAGAATTATAATTAAACTATTCCTTTTGCAGCTGCCTTTGGCGTGGCTTTTGACGAGATCGTGGTCGATACCTCGTTGACTGTGAAAAGGAAGGATCCCTTAAGGCAGTCCCGCAGCCAAAGCACCTCTCAGAGCGGGGTAGCAGCTTCCGTTGTCCCCCAGAAGAAGGAGAATTTTTAAATAAGTGAAAATGTAAGCAACACCAACAAAATATTACATAACTATTTGTAATCGCTTCGATTTAATGAAAAGAGGAATTTCATACGTAAAAACTGGTTTCAAATACATTATGTTCAAATTTAAAAAAAAATGGTACATCCTAGTGTCAACCTATATTTTCTCCAATCTTTGTAAGATTGCCATTACCCAAGTTGCGAAAGTAATAGCACTGGGCTACGAGATTACAATGATACAAATTGTATGAATTTACTCTAATAGCTAGAGACGTATAGCCAGAAAAATGTGCTGTAAGCTATTTCTAAATATTCCACGGTGTTACTTTAGAAGGCTCTACATCCTAATTCTTGACATCGCCCACTGTTTAGGGAACTATGGCCAGATTGCAGCGTGGTCTGTGCTGTCAGATCTAAGAACACGTACCATAAAAAGAGCGCATTAGGCTTATGGCATATTATTTTGATCATATTTCCGTTATTATTAAAAATAGATTTGTCGATTATGTAATTAATTGTAGTCTTAATAAAACAGCCTCCTATCTAAATGAATAAAAATACACCCACTAATTCTGGCAAAGTGCATATAATTCAGTATTAATGCAAAGATTATGAATGCTTCAACTGGTAGATGGCGTTGTTTCTGTAATATTTGCGATTGTTTCAGGTGATAGGATGTGTTCCGAATTCTGAAGTGGAGGTCACAACACATACGCCATATTTTTTATACTAATTTTTTGTAAATTTATATGAAATATAAATAATTTTAACTAGTCTGGGTGTGTTTTCCTTAACATTCCACAAAGAAAATGGAGGCCTTGAATCTGGTCCGTAAATATGAGAATCTATCTTTGTGTAGATGGCGCTGATAACTGAAACGCAGTCGAATATTTACGGCCATTCCGCCATTTATTGAGTATCCAATATTACATATTATTAAAAATATGATAAAATTGTGTATAAACATATAATTTGTGCTTACAAAATGTCCTTTAAAGCGATTGAATGCTAAAAACAAGCATTAACAAATAATTTCAACAAATTATTGATGAGAAAAATGTCATTTCTGTCTTTCTTTTTTATTTTTTTTAATCTTTTCATTCTTGTATAATATGAGACGGATTGTATACCCCAACAAGCTTTGTCCATTAACGAATTCACAACAAAAACAAAAAAAAGAACAAAATAGGGCGTGCATTTATCGTTTTATTTTTAAAATTTATCAGCTCTTGTTTATCTTTAATGAATAATAATTTTACACAATTTTTTATCGTTTGTTTTTGTAAGTAAAAGTACATTAATTGCTGGTAGGTCTCAAAATGACACGTTATTACCTAAAATTACGGATTAAAATTTTAATATAATTATATTTTTAAACAACAAAGTGTAAAAAACATGTATTGAACTAATTATTATTAGTAGGCTGGTTATTCGAAAAACAATTGGTTAGCAACAATGCTGACACCTAAACTGTTTTCCTGGTTGCCTGTACTAACTATTGGTAACTAAATTTCTTAAAAAATCTCGGTAACTTTTGGAAAGAATAATTATTTCTATACTCTTTTATAATTTACAAAAATATATATGAAGCGTCATTAAAAAAAAAGCACAAGCAAGCCTTTTTCACTTCAATATTTTTGACATATTTTCATTTGAAAAATTTAAAGATATTTACACGTTTTTAATATCAAATATGCTGTGTGGGTGTTAAAGTCTGGGGAAAAATGCATTTATATTAAAAAAAATAAGTTAATTTATATAGGGTGTTCCGAAAAAAAGGGACGTTGAACAAACTACAATTTCTTATATGTATACAGGGTGTTAAATTTCTATTATAATAAAGTGTTTTTGAACAAAAAATAAGATTCACAAATAAAGACATAACTTGAAATAACATGAAAAGTTCTATTAAGATCGATTTCTTTCCGACAAAAGAAGTGTTGATACACGAAACTACATTTAAGAACATGTATTTTTTAAATTTCTGGCACATTACCATGATTTCACCCCTCTTATTGATATTCAGACAAGTCTGCAGCAATTCTGAGCTGTTTTTTCGAAACATTGGTAAATATTTCGTGCTCAGCGAACTTTCAACACCCTGTAATGTATAATGTAAACGATTTCGTGTCCATGTTCACAAAACCTCTTTAAAAAGATGCTATTTCAGCCGTAACTAGTTACTGAACAAAGCTTGTTCCCTTGTAAATGTTTTAATCTTAAAATTACTGAAATTTAAATATATATATCTCACTGTCATGTTTCAATTATTATAACAATAATAATCAACAGTCTATAAAAGCTGCCCCTTGAAAGGACCCACCCCGTCATCCCACGGGGCCCCATTAAAATTGTATTTAATAATAATAATAATAATAATGATAATAATAAAAAAACAATAAAAAACAACGATCCGTAAAATTACTTCTTCGGCTTCTTCGGACTGCCTAATGGAGATTCCTGAAATAAAAAAGTTTTTAATATTTTGTTACAGTTTGCCTCATTTGTGGTGCATTTTTATGAACTACAAAAAATTAATTGCTTGTAAAATGCACTACTTAGAGGTACTAAGGAAATAATAGCGGCATCTACCTGATGCTGAGATCCCAAGTAAATTATCTAAGTTTTAAGGTAAGTTTATTGAAGTCTCAGGTAAGAAAACTGAGATCACAGGTAAGTTAACTGAAATCACGGGTAAGTCAACTAAGATCACAGGTAAGTTAACCGAGGTCACAGGTAAGTTAAATGAGGCTTCAGGTAAATGAAAGATAGATATTATAAAGCGAGAATCATCTTACCAGGTCTAATTCGTCTAGGGACTCTAGTTTCGCGATTGGGGCTATCTTCTCCTCCTTACAGTCCTTCTCTTTCGCTAGCAGACTGTCGGCCCACGACGGCTCCTGGTACTTGTCGAAATCAAAGGCTTTATTAAACGATGCAAACCTGAAAAGTGCGCTGTCAACCGTCGCAAGAAAAAAGGAGGCGGAAGTGGCTCGTCCAAGTTGCGCACGCCTACAACTTGTCATCTCTTTTTTCTGTCGAAGCACTTTGAGCAAGAGCAATCAGTTCGTGCCACCCGTGACTCAGATCGTCTTTTGTTTTCACTTGTACGTATTTCTATTTCAGGGACCAATTTTGTATTTAGTCTGGGTGAAGCCCATAAATTAAAGAGTTACTGGGGACGTTTACAAGAATTTATGAAAGAGAGCATTAAAATGTCTTCTCCATTGCCTTGATAGTCTAACGTTTCATGTTAAAGTTTTAAATAGAGCAATTTTTCACTTAAAATACCATTTTAAGCGAAGACGAGAAGCCCTTCAAGCTGGGAAAACATAAAAAGCAATTAACTTTTGGAAGTTAAATTAATTTTCGCGAAATGTTAATGCTCCGCGTGGAGAAAATGAGGAAAATCGCTTCGGCACACATTTTTTCATATTACCCGAAGGGAAACTTTGCAATTAATTCCAATTAGGACTTTTCCGTACAAATAATTGACCAACTGTGCGGTGCATAATAATTCTTTGTATATTTTGCAGTAATGGTACGTCGACAACAAAGATAGCGTTAAAAGCTCGAATCCAGATAATTTACGAACGGTTGAATAATTTTGACAACTGGCAACTGTCAAATTTGTACGTGTGTACCTCGCAGATATCTTAAAAGCGTATAGATGTATGTTCAACTATCATGAGCAGAATATTATAGTGAGCTACATGAAAAAATGTAATTGATAAAGTAACCCTTGAAAAAATTTGTTATTTTGCTAATTTGCTGAAAACTGAGTTCGGAGGAAGCACTTTCTGGTTTAAAAACGAAGCAGGATTAGCAACTTCCAAAAAAGTTATTTAATTGGACCCGTTCAGTGTTACAAACCATACGGTTCTCGTACATCGTGCATTTCAAGACTTATAATACAACTTGTCACCTGCGCACGACCCCTCTGCGCAGTAGTAATCAGCTACAAGACCTTTAAGATCGTTCCTCTATCTCTTTTTAAGATGTCTACGTGGCACATTTCTCTCTGACGACACGGGCGTGCGCAACTCGGACAGCCGACGATCTGCTGCGTTTACCTATGCAGAACTTGGGAATGGTGACTTTTTGAGATGGGCTTTGGCTCACTAACTGATCTCTGAAATGTAAATCTACTTCTACTTGGATCTACGGCTACGTTTTCATATTCAGGCATCTGAAAATGTTAAATAACCACTATTTATTCACCTAAGAAGAGGAAGAAGAGTCACGAGAATGCACACACATCAGAGCACGAAGCACAGTTACGCTTAAAACGACTATTTGAAATATACAGTGCGGGGGAGGGGAAGGGGCTTTAATTTTTGAATCCAACATCCTGATTTTTTATTGGATCAAAGCACGCTTTGATGTAAACATTTCATCCTAACTGTCGTTAGAAAGACGTTAACACTTTCGTTTGCTTTAAAGCATACTCTGATGCAATCAAAATTAGCCTGTTCATCGTAAGACATAAAGTTCGATATCTCGAAAACGGTTAAGTTTAGGTACATGATGTAGTATTCATATACTACTACTATTTTGTTTAGAATTTGGAGAGGAATTGAAATATGGAATAACATACAGGGTGTTCCAATAAAGTAAAAGCAACATTGTTTCGTCATGACTTTTTGACTGATCCTGTATAGTTAACTTTTCTTTTTTGTAAGAGCTTCAAAAAAACCCTAAAACATTTGTGCCTCATGATTTTTCGATGGCTATCTTACTTCAGGAGATAATCGACCTTTTCTATACACATCAGCGACCCCATATAAAAAAATAAGTGTGGGATGATTATTTAACCCTCGCACTGTATATTTTCGCAAAATAGTGTTTTATATGCCACTGTATGGCTACTATACAAGTACTACTGCACATTTAGTCAAGAATGGACATATCTGTTCGCTCCAATTATACGTAGTTATTTCTGTGGACTGTTTATGCCTAAATTGTTATTACAATGACTCATGCTTGTGACAGTAATGAACAAGCGGATAAGAGAAATTTATGGGGAGGGCAGCCAAAACACCGCTGTGGCATCACGATTGTATAAATTTTACGACAAACAATTTTGCAGTTGGCTTTTAGAGCAACATTTCCACTATGAATGACTGTAAAGATCTATTTTGATGATGAATGAAGCTTTGTTAACCCGTAATCGAATTTGAAATTCCGTATACAACTTTGGGATTTGCTTGACTGGCGGCTAAGATATTTTTTGTTAAAATAATTGTCTCAACTTAATCATCTTGACCAAGAAATATTACCACAAGCCATAATTAAACTTGTTGAATCTCTGTTTTCTTAAGATAGATGCCTCGATTAAGCTGATTACCTTCTTCCAGTCCATTCTTGACAATTTCCCCTTTCATCTACTTGTTCTTTACAGGTATCGTCAAAAAGTTGATGAACACCAAACAAACATTTTTTAATTTTTAAACAGTGTGCGTTTATTATAACCAGAATAATACTAAATACTAGCTAGTAACAACTAAACAATAAACGAGAAGGGCTAAAGTGTAAAAATTAATCCAGATAATTATAATATTTCAACTATTGACACTTGTCACATATACAGGGTAGCCCATCGAAAACGTACCGCAAGGCATTACAGGGTAGTAATGAACTTTTCGGCAAAATCCAAAAACAGGTAAAGTTTGCTTCTGAGGGGGACAACTTTTGGCGCAAAAAGCATAGCAAAATCTTCAACCCCCTAAGTGGGGGTGCCATCCCCCAAATTTTTTTAAATGGGAATGGGGGTCAAGTGGGGGGTCATTAGAAAGGGCTTTTAATTCTCTATACATCGATTCTTACTTTTTGAAAATCGATCCATTATTTTAGAAAATATGCAGCTTTGAAAATACGAACAATATTTTTGACGAGAAATGCGAAAATCGATTTAATTTTACTTCAAAACTTACGGTATTAGCTTGGTAAATTCCTTCAAAAGAATTCGCTGTTTTTTTTTTTCTGATTTGCGAATTCTTTAGCCTGATTTTGGTGAGCAAAAAATTGTCCGCTTTTTGTTTCGTATTTAGATAGGCCACAAGAAGTTGCTAGATAACTGTCTTGTGACTTGTAGTTGAAGAGTACCAATACTGCCGAGTCTTTTAAATTGATTAATTATGGTGTACTCAATTCCAGAAAGAGTAGAAATTATTGAGCTTTTTTTCAAAAACAATGAATGCGGAAATCGGGTCGCCGAACTGTTCAACCAACGGCATCCTGAGAAACATGCGTCTGGAAAAATTGTTCGCGAATTGGTGGCCAAATTTCGCGAAACTGGCTCCGTTCATAACAAAAAGAGGCAGGTTGAAAATCCGGTACTAAATGAACCTACGGAAATAGCGGTATTGGGGCAAGTGGCAATGGATAGTACGCTGAGTACAATGCAATTGGCTACTGCGACAGGAGTGAGTCGTACAAGTGTCCAACGAATATTAAAAAAATACAAATTCCATCCTTATAAGATTCGGCTAGTGCAAGAGCTAAATGAAGACGATTTTGATCGTCGTTTGCAATTTTGCGAAATAATGACTGAACGAGCGATAAACGATAATTTCCTCTTTAATGTGTGTTTTTCGGACGAGTGTACGTTCTTCTTGAATGGTTTAGTGAATCGCCATAATTGTCGTTACTGGGCTGATACCAATCCAAGGATTTTCCATGAGACACACTCCCAACACCCCCAGAAGTTGAATGTATGGGCAGGTATTTTTGGAAATTCCATTGTAGGTCCTTTTTTCCTTCCTGGAAATTTGACAGGCGATATGTACTTGGATTTACTACAAAATGTCATCGACCCAGCTCTAACAAATATCATAGAGGACGACCCTGCTTACAATGAACACGAACTGATTTTCCAGCAAGACGGAGCTCCTCCACATTACTCGCTCAATGTGCGCAATTACCTAAATGAGACGTTTCCAGGACGCTGGATAGGACGAAGAGGTGCAATTGAGTGGCCCCCTCGGTCACCCGACTTAAATCCTTTAGATTTCTTTCTCTGGGGGCACATTAAAAGCAAAGTTTACAGCACTCCACCTGATACCTTGGAAGATCTGCGAGGACGAATCATTAATGTATGTCGCGAAGTAACACCGCAAGTGCTCCAGAATGTTCGACAACGGTTTGAAGACAACCTGTATCATTGTATGCAAGTTGGCGGACAACATTTTCAGCATTTACTTGACTAATACCGTAAGTTTTGAAGTAAAATTAAATCGATTTTCGCATTTCTCGTCAAAAATATTGTTCGTATTTTCAAAGCTGCATATTTTCTAAAATAATGAATCGATTTTCAAAAAGTAAGAATCGATGTATAGAGAACTAAAAGCCTTTTCTAATGACCCCCCACTTGACCCCCATTCCCATTTGAAAAAATTTAGGGGATAGCACCCCCACTTAGGGGGTTGAAGATTTTGGTATGCTTTTTGAGACAAAAGTTGTCCCCCTCAGAAACAAATTTGACCTGTTTTTGGATTTTGCCGAATAATTCTTTACTACCCTGTAATGTCTTGCGGTACGTTTCCGATGGGTTACCCTGTATTAATTTTTGTGTGTGTTGCGATAATGAATTACTCTGAACTATATTGTTGGGCTATTTTTACGAACAGTCAAATAAAGTGTACCTCTCGACAATCTTGTTATACTGCTTCATGAAGCAATCAAGGAAAATGCTGACATGTCAAAGTTATAGAAGTTGCTGGTTTTTCTTAAAAAAAAGATGACGAGTACAAGTCAAATCCATAATACTTGCTAAAGAGGAACTGCAGGCTACTCTTAAAGAGGAAGGAGGTTCAGAGAGAGAATAAGGTCAGGCGATAGCCTGGCCTGTTGAAGAGCTGAACTGTTAAAATTATAATATTAGAGATCTTGGTTCTACTACAACCAAAAAAGGAACTTTTCATAGTTTCACCATCACTGGGAATACGCAATTCGGTAATATTGTGCTACATTTATGAAAATATGCAGGAGTTTGGAGTAAAGCCTTCCACTTAATTAAACGTAGCTAGAAAACAATCGGCTGGTATGAACAAATTGTATGCAGTGATTTGGAGAAACCAATAGAACAGGGGATAATTCAGAAACAATTTAATTTATGCTTCTGGCTTCTTTTCAAAAATAATCTACAACCTTGGGAGTAAATTGGGAAGATTTACAGTCTGCTTTGCAAGATGAGAAATCAGGAGAATCCAACTAATTTCAATTCAGAGCTGGAACTAATTGTGATTTGGAAACGACCCATCCACAATACATATCAAATAAAAAAATTAGATTGTTGTTTGATAAGAACCGAGATAAATCCCTACACATTTGTAATTGCCTTACCAGAAAGACTATACGAGCTACACACACACCTTTTGCGACAATTTCAGCTGATAACTGCATGAAAAAGACTATTCTGTTCCAAAACAAAAAAGTCCTTTTAGTCAGTTAACTAAGGTTAATTTTTACAATTTTCCCGACTCCCCGCGTCTAACTTCTCACTTATCCGACACTTACCTCCTGCTTGATGGTGGACACCTCGCTACTGGGCGGCTGCTGCGACTGCAGCAGCGCTAGGATGGCCTTGACGTCCGTCGCCAGCGTCGCTTCCAGCGACTGCACGCGCTTGGCCAGTTGGTCCAGCTTCCCGTTGATATGCTCGAGGTGGCTCCTGCTTATCACTAAATTGTCCGAATGTGGGTCTATAGTGGAATGTTGCAAGTGTGTGTGGTTCGTTGTGGCGTCGAGCGGCACCTGAAATGGGAAGAGCATGTACCTCACTCGAAATGTCAAATGCTCTAAGAGGTCGACGATTTCAAATCTCGTCTTTGCCTCGGCACTCACCAGCATCTCGTCCGCGTGAGCGCCGGCCTCCTGGGCGTGCGGTGGGCTGGGACTGTTGGTGTAGTAGCTGGTGCTGCTGGAGAGAGGCACTGAAGTGTGCTGGGGCTGTGGCGCCCCCTGGTGGTGGTGCGCCGTGGTCGAGGGTTCTTGGTGATACGCTCCGACGGATGACTGCCGCCGGATGGTGCGGATTCGGTGGCTGGAGGGGGGCGTCGATTGCGCTACGGACACAAATAGAAGGAGGGGACATGTAGTGGGGGTAATACGTCGTGCTACGAGAGGATTGTTCCTTTAATAGTCCGGGACTGTTTTGGAACAGTCAGAAATGTTCGTCAAGTTACTTTTTACTCTACGCTTACTGAAATCTTGTATAGGGTCTTTCACAAAACATTGTACCCTTCTTATCTTTTTCCCTTTTTATTAAGGAAATAGGCATAAGTTAAAATTACTTACGAAGATGGGATTTTAATTCAAATATTATATCGTCTTCCGCCTAGCTTGCGGTTTCCTGCTTGTACTTTCTATTTTGATGTAATGGCGGCCATATTTTTCATTAATAATTTTACTGGGTAAATAACGGGCGTTCAAATAAAAACGTGGTCAAGTTGGTTCTGAAAATTTGGACGTAGGGCGTAGCGTATAGCAAATGAACTTAAACGTCATCTGTCAAAGCGCTATATCGCCGCTATCAATTTGAATATTTTCGTTTTAAAAAGCGTTTAAAATGGTGTTTTCTCAAGAACAAAAAGTGTTTATCATAGAGTCCTACTTTAGAAATGGACGCAAGATTGATGGAATATGGAAGTATTCTATTGAGGAATGTTTCATAGAATTTCAAAATCAATTTCCCGGCGTTGTTGAGTACAAAATTTTTCAAAGTGCAGTTCAGCGTTGTGTTAATGTTTTTCGTGAAACGGGCAGTGTAACAAGAAAAGAAGGAAGCGGCCGACCTAAAAAGCGGACTGAAGAATTAAAAGAAAATGTCCAACAAATAATGGAAAATGCGCCAAGAACTTCTGTACGTGTTTTATCACAAATGGTGGGAGTATCAGTCGGTACCTGCCACACAGTGTTAAAAAAAGATTTGCGTTTGTTCTCCTATCGTTTAACTTGTCAGCAAGAACTTCATGAAGTTGATTTTCCGCGACGGGCTGTATTTTGTGAATGGTTTTTAAACAACTACGGTGAACTTCATAATATCACCTTTTTTTCTGATGAAGCCTGGTTTCATTTAAGTGGTTACGTAAACTCACAGAATATGAGAATGTGGTCTTCTGAAAAACCAGATAACTTTTTTGTCGAGGGCCCTCTACACGCTCAAAAAATTGGAGTTTGGTGTGCTCTCAATCGAAGGAGGATTTATGGACCTATTTTTTTTAATGGTACTCTTACTGCGCAAAGGTATAGAGAAGAAATTATCGCTCCTTTTGTTAACCAGCTGGAAGAAAACGAAATTACAAACTTTTACTTTCAACAAGATGGCGCAAGGGCACATACGGCAGGCGAGACGATGAATATGTTGAGGGAAGTTTTCCAAAATCGACTAATAAGTCTCAATGCTGAACATGAATTTCCACCGAGGTCATGTGATATTACGCCGTGTGATTTCTTTTTGTGGCCTTACCTTAAAAACACTATTTTTGAACTGCCTATTCCTGATTTAAACCATCTGCAGGCTCGACTTATAGACAAGATTCGTGAAATTAACAATACCCCGAGCATCTTAGAAAATGTCTTTAATTCTTTGAGGAACAGGTGTGAAAAGTGCTTGGAACAAGGAGGGGGACACTTTCAGCAGCTGCTTTAATTTATTGTTATAACAAGGAGGGGGACACTTTCCGCAGCTCCTTTAATTGTTTGTTATTGTTATCACGATTATTCTTTAAAATAAAGTTATATAGTCATTAACGTTATTGAAACTGACAGCTGCTATACAGCTCGTTGAGAAATGAGGTTAAGTTGGTCGCTATAAGCTATTCCCTACGTCCAATGTGTCAGAGCCAACTTCGACCACGTTTTTATTTGAACGCTCGTTATTTCTGATAGTTCGAAACCAGTTCCTGACTTTTGTTGGAACAGACTTAAAAAAACTGTCAAGGTCGATATGAGAGCACATCTTAAATATTGTTACGGAATATTTTCAAGTTACATTTGTTTATTTTCTCTCCCTCACAATAAGAAACAGATCAATCACTACAAAACAATATCTACAATATAATATCTAAATAGACTGATGTTTCATTGCACTGTTTATATTCAGTGAATGAAGAACGTAACAAAGGCGAGTCATGGCCACCTAAAAAATAACTGATTTTTTAAAATTTGCTACACTTTCTTAACGATATCCTCGAAATAATCATAATTGTATCAGACCTTTGACAGTTTTTTTTTTTTGGTGAATAGGACTAGTATGTGGCGAATACGGGGGTGGGTGATGGTGATATAGGTATTGTGTGCATAATAAAGTGTGAGAAAATAGTGTAGTGATTTGTTTTTTTTTTGCGAAGTATTCTTCTAAATCTTTAGATAGTACAGCTGGGATAACTGTTTTGAAAAACTTTGCTAACAGAAATAATTCGTTCCATATTAAAGTTAAAATTTTTTATTCCCCTGTTTCCCGAACGTCAAAAAACGATAACTTCGTCAAAATAAAAAAAGAATGTGAAAACGTGATTGCTAAGTTAGTTTCTATGATCTCACATTTATAAACAACTCAAAAACAAGTAAAGATAAAGACTTCCTTATTTCTTTTTCTTCTTTTTTTGACTAGTGGAACTAGTTTTTAAAGTCTTACTCACTTCTTACGATATGCTAGGATTTCTGGTTACTTTTAAAGAAGTAAACGAAATAAAACTACTACAGCGCCATCTATTGCTTTCTACATGAACACGAGGCATTAAAAAGACTGTAGAGGGCGCTGAAGGCGATTTTTAGCATACTTTTATCTTTCGGCTAGCAAAGCCTAAAATATACAACTAAATGAACGACTACCGCATAAAATTTTGAGACAATGAAACTTTTTATGGTACAATACCTACTTGAAACTAAAATACTTTTTTTTCAGCATATTTAGGGAATGTCAGTCTGTTGAAAATAAATATTGGACACACTGCGACTTTGACTGTTTATTAACTAGAGACTAATGTCTAACTATTATAAAATAACTAAAAGCTGCCAAGAAACCGCCCCGATTTACATCCAACAGACTGAAGGTTGGGTGGACACAAACAACAGTAAACCAACCTTTGTAGCGCCCTTTTGCGTTGGTATTCTTTTCTGAAATTTCGTGAAAACACTGTTAGCAGTCGAGAATGCTTAAAGAATTAGAAAAATACTGTAGACGTGGTACTATGCTTGAATATGTGATGTATAGCAAAAATACAGTGTCTCAAAACGGTGGCAAAGATTAGAAGCCGCCTTTATACTCATAATTGCAAAAGTAGAGCTTAAAAATAATTATGGTAATAGATACCAGATGGTCAACTTCTGGGTTTTGCCACAGCTTAAGCATATCTTTAATTTTTTTTAAGTCGTGATTGAATATATGTATGAGTTTAAGTGATAAAGAGTATGTATTTTGTAATCATTCACAAGACTACCCTGGCAAAACATTGCTTGAGGAAAATAATCAAGATACCGATGCTGATATTCAGAGTGTGACGTTTACAGTGAACGAAATTAAAAACTCTCATTACTGATGAGCATCGGCTTCTTGCACCTGTCTCAGTTACGTAAACAGACAACGAAAAGATACAACTTTCTAGCGTAATGCTTTTTTATTGTAGATGTTCTTGAGCAATCGCATTTTAACTTTTAATCATTGCAAACGCCACACCCTGTATAATATTTATGAACATTTCAGCATACAAGAAAGCCTCTTATCGTTTGAATTGACTTGCAATGTTGTTTGCTAAAGTTTAAACTAACTTAATACTAATTTGCATGTTATAAATTGGTACCAACGTAACTAATTATTATTAAAGGAACTTAATGAAATTGGGGAAGATAATTCTAGTAAAACTGATCAACGTAAGAGAATGAATTAAAAAGTTATTTTCCTCTCCCCCTGTTCTAAATAATTTGCTTCGAACAATGCGCGCCAGGTTCTCGTGAGACTCATTCGAAATATTCTAGTGGCAATCAATATTTTATAACAATTAATAAAACATGCAACAATTAATTTAACAGTCCTACAATGAAAGTCTAAAAATAACGATTCCTAAAGATCTCGGTTAGTAACCATGCTACGTACAAGTGCTACTTTCTATGAAAGAATGTTAGTCACAAATACATACATATATTTTGTCGATTATAACAAATAGTGCTGTCAGATTCGTAGAATTCAGTAGAGTCAGTACGAGAGTGACGTAAAGAAAGCACCAGATGGTCGCTAGAAGGCGTAGCAGTTTACTTGAGTCGCTACCAGGATATTTAAAGTCGTTTGTCTGACATAACAACTTGATAAACAAATTGGAGATAACATTTTGATAAAAAGCATTGCCTATTAAATACTTGGGACCGTGAAATATCGTGGTGATTACATTTTCTTTACGTTACTTTTTAGAAACTAATATACTAACTTTGTAACAAATGTATCAGTAGAAATATTAGGAGTAACACCCATTTCAACACCCGGTATAATAACTACTCCGAAATATTGTACAAAATGAATAAAATACTGTTCCTACTGATGATCAAGTAATGTAAAGTGTGTAATCTAGTAGAACATTAGATGTAGCCTTCATAAAGCACAAGCCACGTGGTCAGGAATTTCTTTGGAATAGTAATTTTATTTTCTTCACGTTGGCAATAAAATTTCATAACAAAAATTATTAAAACATTAATAAGATTAAGACTACAATAAAACCCAACAGTCTGTTTTACTAGTGTAGTTTTTCACGAGATTTTATTCAACCAACCAGGGATCGCATTATATCGAGCGTAGACGTAACAGATTGTCGATGTTTATTGTGAACGAATTAATACAGGGTGAATCACAACCTATCAAAAAAAATTTAGAAAATGGAATCAATATCGTAAAAAATTTCTTCGAGAAAAAAAATTATGGAAGTTGTAGTATTTTCAAACTTTACATCGCTAGGCTACTGTCCATCTCTCCCCATTCTGAATCCTGAAATCCGATTTGCGTTTTTGCGATAGTGTTTACATTAGTTTTTCATGTCAAAAATGATTTACGTGTGTAGCAATTAAATCATTTTCGAACTGCCCGTTTTGATTTTTTTTACATAGGTAATTCTATTTGTAACTCTGTTTTGTACTCCAAAATTTGTTTTGGAGTTCTAAATCACCCTGTATTGGTGGCCTAAGCTCGACAGTTACGTGGCTTGTAATCATTTATGAAAGCTACGTATTACTATACAAGTGAGTGAAATAACCCATTACAAAAGTTCAATAAATCAACTCAACAAGACAACATCCCTGTTTAGCTTGAAATGGTAACATTGACTATTTGGAATCGATATATACGGGGTGTTAAAATCTAGGCAACGCTACTTATCTTCCACATCGAGGAGTACAAGAAAACAGACAAGTAGTGCTCAACGGGCGGTTCCAACATCCAATCACACTTACCTATTAGCGGCTGGTGGGTTTTGTGTAACCTTAGATCTGGGATACTTCGCTTAAGTTGAGATAACATGCCTAAACATATATGACATTATTTAGTTTAACGACACAGGTTTCTCGGCATCGAGTGGGACAGGCATCGCGACGTTTTTTTCCTATCACCGGTAGTTAAAAATGTTTTGGGGCCTGTACTACTTTGGAAAGTTTAAAATTCAATGCGTAAGCACTTCTACAGTAGCATCTAAGCCTATTAGGTCAGGAAATACAGAGTTGGACGCGACTTTTTGTTTCGGCAAGCTGAATTTATCACTATAGATGATAAATATTATGTACAATAACATATTAGTTTCCACAGTCATAAAAATGGGAGGAAGATTGTTTACAGGGTGGTTAATTGTATAATTTTGTTCGCAAGTTCACGTTTTTCGCTTATAACTTTTTTCCGTTCGTCTCCACGAGAAAACAGTAAAGTACTTTATTTTCCGACCTACGAAACTAGCCCTCGAGCGTTAAAAAATATTGAGTATATCAAAAGTTATAAACATAGGAAGTTTATTTATGACTTTTAAATTAAACATTTATAAACTGCGTTATTATTGCCAGAACGTTTTAGCATCGCTTCCTCTCATTCGCACTGATTTTTTTCATGGTAGATTTCATAATAATACATTGAAATCGTATCATTTTTTTTTAAATTTCAAATTTGCAACCTGGAAAGCTTTTTATTTTTTAATTTTTTTAGCCTTAGTTGCAAAATGAAATATACAACGCACGCGCGTGATATAGTTATATATCATTACATATTCGGAAAGCTTATGAAAAGTAGTCGTTCGTGTGAGTTATTAGACAGTGATAAGGAATGAGAGAATGCGATGCCAAAACGTTCTGGTAATAATAACGCAGTTTATAAATGTTTCAAAAGTCATAAATAAACTTCTTCTGTTTATAACTTTTGATTTAATCAATATTTTTTGACGCTCAGGGCTAGTTCTGTAGGTCTTTCGAAGATGAAAACAAAAGTATCTTACTGTTTTCTCGTGGAAATGAACGGGAAAAAGTTACAAGCGAAAAACGTGAATTTACGTAAAAATTATACAATTAACCAGCCTGTAAACAATCTTCCCCTCTTTTTTATGACTGTGGAAACTAATATGTGTATATTAAATTTAGCATCTATAGTGATAAATTTAGCTTGCCAAAACAAAAAGTCGCGAAATGGCAATTTCCCAGCTCTTTTTCCTGGCCTGTCATAGCGTGAGGAGTAGCTCCTTGAATAATTTTGATTCCAAAAGTCTTAATATGTATTTATGACAGGCGTATTGAAAAAATGTCAGCTTTGCAAATGGCAATAATGCCATTCCGATTAAATTTCAACGATAAGAAAAAGATCTACATTTTTCGATCCGAAAAAAGTCAAAATTTCGGTAGATTTTTCGTATATTTCTAATTATTTTGCAATACGCGCACATTTGCAACTCTTAGAGAAAATTTTACGCTCAAGATAGGTCACGTAAGTGCATTACTGTATGATTTGTTGAAACTTGAAAAAATGTCTTTTTTTTTGAGAAACCAAATTTTTGCAAAAACTATTAAATATTTTGCAATTTTACAAAAATGCACCTATTCTACTTGCTAAGGACTACATATTCTGAAAGTTTCTCAAAAAAGTCTTTATTCATTTTAAAGATATACCTAGAAGTTTTAAAAAAATGCAATTTTTAACCGTTTTTTATATACAGGGTGGTCCGAATTTTATGCAGGAAACTTCGAGGGCAGATAGATCTCTTTAAAATAATATGTGTTTGCCTTATAAACATAGGTCTGGAACGGCACCGTTTTAGAGATAAAGGGTGTTGAAGTTGTCAAAAAAAATTGATTTTTTGTTTATATCTCCAGAATACATTAACCGATCTCAATAAAATTTGGTACATATAATGTATGATAGTAGGCCTTATATTCCCTGAAATATGAGCTTTAAAGGTTCAACCAGTGGTGTACAACTTTTTTTTACAAAAAACCTACGCCACTGCATTTTTTACATGCCATTGTAACTGATTTATATTTTAATGCACAAAATACGTAAAAAAGGTGACTTTAATTTTTTCCCTAAGATTCGCCGTTCTCAAGTTATTCATACCAAGACAATCCCCTTGTAAGTGCAATTTGTAAGCACATCAACAAAATTATTTACACTCCTTTCTAAACCACCTGTGAGGTAGTGTGCGATATAAAAAAAAATCAATTTTTTTTATACCTCAACACCCTGTATCTCTAAAACGGGGCCGTTCCAGACCTATGTTTATAAGGCAAACACATATTATTTTAAAGAGATCTATCTACCCTCGAAGTTTCCTGCATAAAATTCGGACCACCCTGTATACTTAATACATTTGTTTATCGATTGACATCGGACTGGGCACAAAATTTTTTGTTATAAAAAGTTCTACAACTTTTGTCTAAAACATTTTTTTCTAAAATGTTTACTTTTCTTTTAAATGAGAAAAACTGTTTCCTTCGAAATTTGGACGCCACACAGTGGGGCAGAATCCCAAAAAGCTGGCCAAAAGTCAAAATCTTTAAAAATCGATCGGAAATTTGTTACTCGGGGGTTTCTGGGGTCGCTGATAACGATTTTGGAGTCGGAATTACAAAATTCAATGTGGAGGATTTAATATAGCCATATCAGAAGTAGAAATATTTTTTAAATAGGGATTATGAATTAAAAGATTATGAAATACAAAATGTCACATTTATCAAGAATGAGGAAGATGTAAAAATGACAAATGACATATTAGACTATTCATATACTTCGTTAAATAAGTATCGGGATTAATTTATTTGAATCCCGTGCCAAAGTTGTAATATAAAATTTCAGTTTTTTCATAAAAGAAGAGAATCATCATCAGATGAAAAATCTTCTTAAGTTGAGACAATTTCGTCTTTATCTGCAATCTTCCCATGTCTTACATCGTCCAGAGAAGGCGAAATTCATTTTACTCTACATTTTACAAAAACCTATACAAAAAGTTGTTAGGCACTTATAGGCAGCTGATTTTTTCTTTAGTTTACAGATAATAGTTTTGCCTTTTTTGTCCAATAAGTTAAATGACAGAATTCTGCAGTATTATTAAACTTTTTTCTTCAAAACTAAATTATTATTTCATTTTATAACGTAAAATTCAGATAAGTTTGGTAGCCAATTACTATTTTTTGTAAAAATATTGAGTATTTTTACCTACATATTCATAATCTACCTACATTTATGAGTTGATTTCATTTTGTTAGAGATAAATCGGTGAACTCTACGAAATTTTATAACCACTTAAAGACAACTATTACTTCTGTTCCTACGCGCGAGCCAGGTGTTGCTCGAGCAGCGGTCGCCTTTGTAATGATTTAAAAAGCAGGTATAGGGAATTCTGAGACTTGGGATATTACTCTAACCAATCCAATAGTAAAAATACCGAATTAGAAACTTTATTTTTTGACTTTTGGCCAGCTTTTTGGGATTCTGCCCCACTGTGCGCCATTTTGAAAATGAAGCCCTAACATTCAGCTGGGATGAAGTCGTTCATTCAATTCTACGGAATCTACGTGTCTTCATTTACTGAAATTTTTGGCAAAAACGAGGTATTTTCGACAATTTGACTGGTCTATTAAACCTTATAATGTAAAAGAGAGAATTGGAGGTGGTGACAGTTCCCTAGTAGTGAATTGAATGGTCTTGTGTGGTAGCATAGCAAAACCTTTTGCACATCAAATGGATACAACTACACCGTACATGATTTTTTGTGATATTTTCCAAAAATTTCAAGAGCATGCATTTTGAAGATCACTAGATTTAAACCCGTGATCTATAAGAAGTTTGGATCTAAAATCATCCAAGAATAATCTTCCTGAAGCTATGCCATGTATGCAGAAAACGCTCTGTACATAACAACACGCGAATTGTAAAGATAGCATTAACAAAACTTCCCTTAGCTCCCTTGTACAATGTATGTACAATAAATATTTAATTTAATTTCAAGACAAAGATAATAGGTACACATTTTTTTGTAAGTTGTAACAGCTAATTTTCATTGATATTACATACAAGTTTCTGACAACAAACTAACTGTTCGTTGTGGCGTATCTACCGAGGGCGGGAAGAAGTGATCGCGAATCAGAAGTGGGATACCCGTACAATTAGAAACAGCTGTGTCGTTAACAATAAATATGAGATAAATAACGATGGTATTAAAAAAATGGTCTGAGATATTAAACGTACAAAGGGGTTCTAATGTAGATATGTGAAATTGCCAAACACGGAAAAGGGGGTGTCTATTATTTTGACAATGACAGGACTTCCCGCTTTCACTGAAAATTGCACACTTTTCATAATTCTTTAGATCTTGCACTTGCTTGTTTCAATTCAAATTAATTTTCAAAAGTATAAACAATAAAATAGCACCGAAAATCAAATAACAGAAGTCTCGCGTAATATCTGCAATCATTAAAAATATTTCAAATTGCAACTGTGAATGCTACGGGACTCCTCTATTTATTATTAAACTTCGAACGCTAGAAACCAGACGAAGTAATTATTACCTTTTAATGAGAAAAGTTTCCTAACAAGGGCAAGTCAAGCAATTACAGGAAGTAGCGTCATTGTCAAGAGTTGTCAATAACGGGGCTGTATAAGCGATGCATTTGTCTACACATAAAAAATGCTGCTGGTCGTATCGAGTTCAGGGGCACAAACAAATTAGATGAAAAAGTGTATAAGGGTACCTGTTATGGAATTTAATGTTGACGACCTCCTCTTCTCCTCGCCGAAGTCCAGGTTCAATGGCGTGACGTCCTGTCCCGCCTTTTCCGTTGAAAACTCGAGGATCCCATGCCCTATAAAGAAATAGTCTTCTGAAAAATAAAGTTGTATATAATGTATGTCGGTACGGAGGTCGGCACGTTGGTTAGTAGCTGTTAACATCACTTGTAACTTAACGAAGGTAAGTATATTTAAAACGTAATAATTAACGAGTTAGTTTTACCGAATAACGTGCCCTTGTACGTTATATGATTTAATGTTTAATATTAATATTAATATGTCGTTTCAGTTAACATTTGAACTGGTATTTTAAGGTAAAGTAACTTCATTTGATTTTCAAAGTAGTCAAAATTTAACGTTCATTTTTACGTATAATGTGCTACGACTCTGGTTCAGTTTAACGTTCAGAATTGAACGTTCACTATTTAACGTTAATTATTCTTGAACTTGACTTAGTAGTATCAGTAGTATCCTCAGTTAATGTTAAATGTAGTAAAAATTTAACGGCCATTTCTACGTTTAACGTACAGTTACCGTGGTTCAGTTTAACGTTCACAGTTGAACGTTCACCGTTTAACGTTCATAAATGATTAGAGATCCCCTTAACAGAGGGATAATGGTTCTTTTCACTTGACTTATGAGTATCAGTATGTTATTTGCGTGGGGTGACTGAAATAACGTTTAAAACATAATCATTTTTACGTCAAGTGGACGCGTATTAGTAAATGATTACGATAAAATGTCAAATATCAGTGTGGGTTTTCTATCGACATTTGTATCTGCAATTTACCTAGATAACTCTACTAAATATAACGTTTATTTCTTGATATCTAACGTACATTATATGAAGTTAAATGTGGTTTAGTTTAACGTACATAATTGAACGTTCACAATTTTACGTACAGAAATAAAGTTGCACGTAACGTATATTTCAACAAGGGGCGCCGTAATAGTAGCAATTTGTGAGTGTCTATTATAAAACGTTAAAGAAAATGTGATGACTAAACACCTGGCAGAAATAATTCAATTAACGTTTACGCACCTAACGTCTATTTTATGAAATTTAACATGATTCTCGTTCACAATTTAACGTACAATATTGAACGTTCAAAAATAAAGTTGTTTGTAATGCATATGATGGTAGACCTTGTTGAAGTTTATATTAAAATATATTGAATCATTTTAACGTTCAATGTGTATAACGTTCTTTTCTAAGATTCAGTTTTAAACAAGAAATTTAACGGTTAATATTACCATTAATGAGTCATTTTCAATAACGTTCTCACTTACGGTTTAATGTTAAAAGTGAAATGTGAGTTTTAACATATTATCTAACATTTATCACTCAGTTTTTTAAATTTTTAACGTTCATACTTTAAATATAACGTTAACGGTGATAAACGTCCAGTGTATTGTAAGAGTTTAATATTTATTTAAAGTTAATTTTTTGTTATTTAACGTACATAATTTAACGTTGACCGTTTATAATTTAACGTACGACTTTATTTAATGGCTTTTTTCTGTTTACACTGTTAAAAAAATAATTAGTACGTACACGACGGATTCACAGCAATTTCTTTACCTGATTCGGATTCGTCGCTGTATTGCGACTCCTGTCTGCCGTTCATGGAATTTCCCCTACTGGAGACCCCGTTCGATTTGGCAGACGGCACGCCCCTGAAATACCTGTTCTCCTTATCCTTCGGATAGAACGACCTTCTTGGAGCTACCCCAGCCTGATCTTCCTGAAAGAACGACACGTCAGTGAGGGGGGGAAGCGGGGCGGTCGGGGCATACCTACATCTCTTAAAGTAAAAGTAATCTCTAAATTATTCAGAAAATGGTTGTAGAACTCCGGATAAAGCTCCAGAACGTCTAACAAATCGTCCCTATGAATTTTATGTAGATCACAGTAGGTCAGGGCCCGAACGTTACACGACGACTTTCCCAATGTGGGATGTAAACATGGATTTTCTCCAAAAATATCGTATTTACCTGAAACAGACAGTAGTTTGGTTGTTAAGGCTCCACAAGGTTGTCATAGGGTTTACGTCAATTTTTCTTAACGTGAAAATATTATCCTACCTGTCAATGTGACAGCTATTAACTTACAAACTATATAGGGTTTCTTATTTCAGAAACACCCTGTATAGGACGCCTGAAAACTACGATGAAAATTTTTCGAGATCATTAAGCATCAGATTTTTAAGAAGGCAAACAAGCAAGAACACATTGTGACGTCATTTAGTGCGAAAGAACACAATCTTCCTTTGTAGGTGCAGATTATTATCAATAATAAGCGCAACAAATGTGCATAAAAGTTGTTTTATTGAAAAAAAAGTTGTATTCTTACCTAAAATTGCCATAACAATATCATCTCTTAATATCTCTATAGAACCTCTTGATATGAAGTAGAGTGACGTCAGTACGTCACCTCGATGCACCAGAGTGTCGCCAGGCGGCGCGTGTGTAGTTTTGAACTTTAACGACAATGCTCTGGAACAACAAAAGCTTATTAGTATAACCAATCATTTTATCTGTTATATTGTGATATCAGTTTGTTTCAATTTTATTCAAAACAACGTAGCAATTCGCATGTAAAGGTACAAATATCTCTAAGAAATTTAAAAATCCCGCCGCTCTCACGGACCCACAGAACAGAGAAGAATCTATTCCTTCTCAATATGACTATAAAATCTATTTATAAAAAAGTGTTTGTCCTTCCTGGTCTGTATTACACTGTGATAGTGATAAGTCACAAGAAAACGAATGGATATAAAAAGTTCTGCTGGCCACACTTTATTAAATGCCGTCGATGTTTGGAATTTTTATTTGTAAGAGGCGTTGTTTCCTTGTTTTCTTTTGCCAATGTACCTTTCTAACACAGAACGTAGGATGTGTGCAGCCACAGGGTCACTAGTCTTCGTTATACAGAGAGATCGAGAATGATTGACCGGATTCTGAACGTACCCTGTCTCAATTGCTATCAAAACTGATTTCCGTTTGCTAAAATTACTTTTTTTCCGTGCAATTTCATGGTGTTCTGTGGCGATTTCACAATTTGACATTCTGTTCATTGGCGCACGGATTTTTTTGGCTTGAATATTATTTTGTAGATTTTGTTGTTACCTGATATATTTTGCGACATTATAAAACAGTATTTTTCAATACTACAGTTAGAGTAGGTGGATATTATACGTGAGTAATTAATTTATTGCGTATGTTGTTCTCTAACCTAATCGGTTTTTTAATTTAGGTTAACATGGCATTTTCATTAGAACATGATAAATTTCTTCTGGAGGCCTATTTTCGTAGTGGACAAAACAATGGTAATGGTTGGAAATATTCGATGAATTCGTGTCATTTACAATTTCAAGAACAATTTCCAAATGATGAAATTGATTATGAAATTTTTTCGAGACACGTGAAGAGATTAGTGGAACGCTTCCATAACACTGGAAGTGTTTGTAGAGGAAAATCTCCAGGCAGAAAGTCTATTCTTACAGAGGAAGTCTTGGAAGATGTTGAAAACCGCTTACGAGCTAGTCCAACCAAATCACTACGTCGGTTATCTGCTCAAACAGGTACTTAATAACAAATATTTATTCTAAAATTTGTATCATTATTCCTAAATTGTTTATAGGAATATCATATGGATCATGCCATAAAGCAGTAAAGAAGTTGCATTTTCATCCTTATAAAGTTAGTGTTGTGCAGGAACTACTTCCGTTAGATTTTGGAAAACGTGTGCAATACTGTAATTGGTTTAACGAAAATCTGAATGACGACGATATTCTAGATCTAACATTTTTTTCTGATGAAGCGTGGTTTCATTTAAGTGGGTACGTAAACTCCCAAAATTATCGCTCTTGGAACACAGAAAACCCTAATATTTTGCGTGAAACAACTCTGCACCCTATTAAACTTGGTGTTTGGGTAGCTATGTCACGTAGAAGAATAATCGGACCATATTTTTTCCGTGAAAATGTAACTGGGCAGGTATATCGGCAGCAAATATTGTTACCATTTTTTGAGGAACTTCACGACGATGAAATCCATCATGGATACTTTCAGCAAGATGGCGCAACAGCTCACACCTCTAACGAAACTTTAGAGTTGATTAGAGAGTATTATGATGATCGAATAATTAGTCGAGATAGATGGCCACCACGTTCTCCTGACCTTACACCCCTAGACTATTATTTATTTGGTTTTTTAAAAAATTCAGTATTTGCTCAACGGTTACACACGATTGAAGAACTTCAAGAGGCAATTACAAACGAAATTAGGAGTATTACACAAAATGTTTTACAGAATGTATTTAATAATATGAAAAGAAGAATTAATACCTGCTTGAACAACAATGGACATCATATTGAACATTTATTGTAAAAATATAGATATTTTTATGGATTTTATGTAATTTTAAGGTAAAATATTCAATAAAATGTGAAAAAATTCCAATTACTCTGTTATTATATATTGCATGTAACTGTTGTTTATTGCTCTCGGTCATACAGACAATCCTACCATCTAACATAATCAAGCACTTCCAACTGCTTGCATTTGCTTGAAGCAAATTTTTTTAAGACACTTTTCCTGAATTTCGACAGCTAACTAAAATGTTCAGCATAAATTTTTGGGCTGGATCGCTTGCGCTGGATATTCAGAAGTGTGAAAGCAGTAGCTGCAAAATAGTCGTCTTATAAGCATACAGCAGTTTGCTTTGATGAAAAACAGCAGCTTGCAGCGTATCGCTGTATAGCTGAATCGTCTTAGATGCCAAGAATGTAGCCACAATAGTGCTTCTGTTTTAAAATTAACTCATAACGTTTTAAAAATAAAATCGCTGAAGCACTTACAGTCGTTATTCAAAATTAGCTACATCAAACTTTGATTTAAAAGTTTTTCTAATTGTAAATGAAATAAGAATTTTGGAAAAGTTAGGCTAAACCTACATTTGATTCTGTCATCCTCTTTAATAATAATAACAATAATAACATTTATTGGTCCATCAGTATTGCTTAATTTGTGAAATAACTTTGATTTTTGTTAAATAATTGATATTTTTATTATGAATTTCCATTTTGACAGTAACCTAATTTATTTGACGTTTGAACGTAATTATTTGTTTACCATTAAAATCCCTCAACCTGCGCTCATGATTCTAGTATTGGTATCAAAAACTGGTATGCCGCACATCAAAAATCAGTATGAGGCGGCACGGTCAATCATTCTCGATCACCCTGTATGACCCAGTGAAGCGAAAACGAGACGAATCGACCTCGCTTCATCCCAGCTTAATGAACAATACGAAGATGGGAACTTTACAAGTTTAATCCATGCGAAATAAAACAATGGAACTGCGCGTCTAGGAGAACTAGATGAGTTTTCAACTTGGTTAACCGTAGATTCCGTGATTTATTCGCTTAAAGGAATTGTACTGGCAAATTCTGTACTGGTTGGGGGTTATTGTCATTGATAATTGGGGATATTGAGTGACTAAGGCTAAGCAGATTTAAAAAAGTAATTTTCCGAAAAATAGCCTAAAAAATGGTAGCAGGATATGGAACACTAACAGTGTCGTTGTAATTTACTCAACAAGTAAATTTAAAAATTTAATGGGGTGTGTTGGTTTTTAGTGTAGTGAGGATTCATGGAAAACAGAAAATGCAATACAAACAAACTCGGTAGAAGTTTTCTTGGTCTATTTTTTTCATAAGGTTGGTTATCAAATTATTGTTAATGTTTCAACAAATTCCAATCTATAGTACTTTATTTAGTCACGAAAATACAAGTCTTCGACTGTGTAGACGCAGTATTCAGTTTCTCAATAGTCAAGAAAGTTGGAAGAATGATTGAATACATATTTTTTAACACGGTATCGAAAGAAATGTAAGCCATTACACCTCTCAACTGCCAGACAGTAATTTATTGTGTTTGCACAGAATCGCTCAAGCTTTATCTGTCTCACTCAGACTGCTTGTTACAAAAAAAAATCTCGGGGAGATATTGAATGCTATAAATCAGAGCGGGAGGGAACTCCGCTTGCATTTAACTTCTATAAAGGTCGAGAGCTCCGCTCGGGAAGAATCCATCTAGGTATTGATTTTATTATGTGGTAATCTAATTTTTTATATACGGTAGGAGTAGTGCCAGAGTTACACTTGTAATTAAGAAATTTTCAGGAATATGCATTCATAGTATTGAGGCAATTCATTATGTTGAAAAGACTTTGTCAACTGAAAATGTTACGAAAATGTCGACTTTTGATGACAGTTTCCGATAAAAATATTTTCAACCTTTAACAAACGTCTGCCGCAATTATCAACCGGATTTCAATTACCCAAATCAAATAATTTTATAATTTCTGTTGTGATTGCTTTATTTTTCTTTGGTTGTGCTTTCCGCTTCCGATTATCCAGCTAAACGCACCATTAATGGCTGGTTTATAAAAAAGTATTAGTCCTAACTTAGCCGTAACTTAACCTTAATCTTAGTTCTAAAAAGTTAAATGTACAGAATGTAATGTATCGGTTTATAAAAATCTTAACCTTGCCCTAGTTCTATACATTACATTTTGTACATTTAAATTTTTAGGACTAAGATTAAGGTTAAGTTAATGCTAAGTTAGGACTAATACTTTTTTATAAACCAACCATAAAACACTTGCTCATCCATTTGTGTGAATTATACTAACAAAATACTCCCTTATTCATTTTTAATTGCCAAGCGAAGTGAAATTAGCGGAGAATAATTTTAAAATACAACCGGAAAGTTATTCACGAATTCGCAAAATAAAGTTTGTCGATTCGAACCCACCGGTATGGTTGGTATCATGCTTCATTTGTTCTTTTTTGTTTCGTTGACCATTACATTCATTTGAGGGGACCCAGTAAAAGTTTTCATGAAAGGATGCCAGTCACGCGTGTTTTGGTTTGATTTCGTGAGAACGTAAAACGTTGGAAAAGCTGTTTTCAACCAATTCTTGGCCCAATCGAATAACATTCGACAACAATGATCTCTGAACTTTCAACATCAGTTACGGTACGCTTAAATTTAATTAGATTCACCAGCAATGCGGAAATAAGATTTCCCAACTTACACGCGTACGACATGAAAGCAAACGCTTAAGCTGGAAATTGAATATGGAGGAAAAAACTAATGATTGGCAGCATCGATTGTCTCTCTTTTTACACACGACAAGCAATTTTTCGTCGTGTTTTTGCGAGAAATTATTTAGTTCTCACCTCAAGCATCCCGGACTGGCTCCGTCGAAGACGCTGCAGTTCTGGAGCAGATTCCTGTTCAGATGCAGGCAGATGTCGGCCTGGAGGCATTCGGGGAACCCCTTGAGCACGGAGTTCATGTCGATGCCGTTGGTATACGTCCAGGCGTGTTGAAAGTACTCCTCCAAGCGTTGCCTGAGCGGGTTGGGGATCTGGTGGAACCTGATAAACTCCCTGACCCGAAGCATCTGGGTGTGGTACCTCGCCGTGCCTGAGTACAGCCTCTGGATTATCGCCGAAACGTTGCCAAATATGCTGGCGTACATTAGAGCTGGAAAGGAAGATATTGGTTCAGATCTTAGAGGAAATAACTTTTCTTTGCAAGTCTTTTTCCTGAGAATCGAGCGTTTTTTTAAATATTTTCAACTGTTTTAGGGATATTAACAGTTTAAAACTACTTGTCGTTACAGTTATTTTAAAAAATGAAGGAATTTGAGCTATTTCATTGTAATATCTGAAAACTTTTTATACCCGTGTTAATGGTTTGTATTTGCAACAGCTTTATAGCGGAAAACATACATAATCCTATAAATAATAGTACGTAGGTAGTATCCGAGTGAATTTTATGATGGTGAAATATATTAGCAATGCAAATTGACTGTAAACTCCGATAGCAACGTCTGGAATCAATGCCGGACAAAGGTTACATCCCATAGAGAGGATCAGAGGCAATTATATTAGTTTCACTTCAGCGAGTGCCTTTGAATACAATTTTTTATCGATGTAAGTACGTACTTCGACATTCTACAGCTTGTATAACAGATAATATAACGTTAAGAACCGTTATATAGTTTGTGAAATGTTTTTTGTAAAGAACGAAAAATTAAGTAAATAAAACTAATATCTCACTCGGTGACATTCTGTCTCAAATCACTAATAACCTATGTCTCATTAAACGACATTTAAAGCTCGTAAGACACTAGAGGCTTGCAACCTGACAGTCACTAGTGATTTGTGACTAATAACTCATCAGTAACTCGTAAGTAACTGTACTTGTGTAGCTCATAAACTAGTACTCTTGTATCTCATGAGACTTTATTGTTTGGAGCTCATAAATCACTAGTATTAGCAACTCCAAGAACATACGCGTTAGTGACTCGTAACTCACAATGAATTACTATATGCGTAGCTCACAAATTATCGATGAGATTGTAATTCATTAGTTGCCAATGCTTGTAGCTCAGAAATCAATAGTGAATTGACAACGACTTGAAGCTTATAAGCTATTAGTAACTCATATCGTTAAAGAAGTATAGCTCATAAGATGATAGTGATTGGAAGCTCATAAAATACTAGTGGATTGTCTTTAGTGACTTGTAACTAATAAATTATGTCTCGAAACTCATGAATAACTGCATCTGTGTAGCTCATGATCTACTCTTTGCTTTTGTAACTCATTTTTTGTGCTTTTGTAACTCATAAGAAGACACCAATGTCTGTAGCTCATAAAATATTTGCGATTTGAAGTACGTAAGACTCTAGGGGCTTGCAACTTGACAATCACTAGCGATTTGTGACTAATAAATCGTCAGTAGCTCATAAGTAGCTGTACTTGTGTAGCTCATAAACTTCTAGTACTCTTGTAACTCATAAGATATTATTGTCTGAATTACTATATTCGTAGCTCACTGGTGAAGTAATTCATAACTCATTTTTTGTGTTTTTGTAACTCATAAGAAGATACCAATGTGTGTAGCTCATAAAATAATTGCGTTTTGAAACTCGTAAGATACCAGGGGCTTGCAACCTAACAATCACTGATTTGTGACTAATAACTCATCAGTAACTTATAAATAACTGTAGTAGTGTAGCTCATAAACCTCTAGTACTCTCATAACTCATAAGATTTTATTGTCTGTAGCTCATAAATCACTAGTACTTCACAAAGTATTAGCAACTCCAAGAACATACGCGTTAATGACTTGTAATAGTGAATTACTTTATTCGTAGCTCAATAATTACTGGTTATTAATACTTGTAGCTCATAAATCACTAGTAAATTATAACTCATAAGACATTAGTGTTAATGTTGACTTGTAATTTGAAGTTTATAAAACACTAGTTGTTCTTCAATTATTGAGTGATCAGCGATATGCCACTCACAACTAATTAACGATTTGTAGCTCACAAATTATAGATGAGGTTGTAATTCATTAGTTGCCAATGCTTGTAGCTCAGAAATCAATAGTGAATTGTCAACGACTTGAAGCATATAAGCTATTAGTAACTTGTAACTCATATATCATTAAAGAAGTATACCTAGCTTATAAGATGATAGTGAGTAGAAGCTTTTAAAACATTAGTGGATTGTAACTTAACAGTCTTTAGTGAGTTGTAACTAATAAATTATGTCGTGAAATTCATAAGTAACTGCATTTGTGTAGCTCATGATCTACTATTTCTTTTTGTAACTCATAAGAACCAATGTCTGTAGCTCATAAAATATTTGCGATTTGAAGTACGTAAGACTCTAGGGGCTTGCAACTTGACAATCACTAGCGATTTGTGACTAATAACTCGTCAGTAGCTCATAAGTAACTGTACTTGTGTAACTCATAAACTTCTAGTACTCTTGTAACTCATAAGATATTATTGTCTGAATTATTATATACGTAGTTCACTGGTGAAGTAATTCATAACTCATTTTTTGTGTTTTTGTAACTCATAAGAAGATACCAATGTCTGTAGCTCATAAAATATTTGCGTTTTGAAGCTCGTAAGATACCAGGGGCTTGCAACCTAACAATCACTGATTTGTGACTAATAACTAATCAGTAACTGTAGTAGTGTAGCTCACAAACCTCTAGTACTTTTACAACTCATAAGATTTTATTGTCTGTAGCTCATAAATCACTAGTACTCCACAAAGTATTAGCAACTCCAAGAACATACGCGTTAATGACTCGTAATAATGAATTACTTTATTCGTAGCTCAATAATTACTAGTTATTAATACTTGTAGCTCATAAATCACTAGTAAATTACAACTCATAAGACATTAGTGTTAACGTTGACTTGTAACTAAAATATTACTAGTGAATTGCACGTAATAGATCAGGAATCTGAAGTTTATAAAAGTTGTTCTTCAACTATTGAGTGATCAGCGATATGCCACTCACAACTAATTAACGATTTGTAGCTCACAAATTATAGATGAGGTTGTAATTCATTAGTTGCCAATGCTTGTAGCTCAGAAATCAATAGTGAATTGTCAACGACTTGTAGCATATAAGCTATTAGTAACCTGTAACTCATATATCATTAAAGAAGTATACTTAGCTTATAAGATGATAGTGAGTAGAAGCTCATAAAACATTAGTGGATTGTAACTTAACAGTATTTAGTGAGTTGTAACTAATAAATTGTCTTGAAACTCATAAGTATCTGTATAGCTGTAGTTCTTAAACTGATACTCTTGTAACTCATAAGATATGAATGTCTGTAGCTCATAAATCACAAGGTATAAGCGACTCACTAGTGATGATGAGTGGTTTGTATTTTATGAAACTCACTGAACATGAGTGACTTGTAACTGTGAAGTTAGATATTTGTAGATTACTACATAGATTAAACTTTTGGGTTTAATTTATTCTGGACATATAAGAGTACTTACATCCGACAAGCATGACGCAGATAGTGAAGATTTTCTCCGCGTCCGTGTTGGGAGCCACGTTGCCAAATCCTACGCTGGTGAGCGACGTGAAGGTAAAGTACAGTGCCGTCACATACCGGCTTTTTATACTGGGTCCGCCAGTGTTGTTGGGAAGGTAAGGCTGGTGGGTGTCGTTGGCCAGAATGTCGAGCCACCCGATTTTCGAATGAAGCATCGGACGTTCCGCGTTACCAATGGCGTACCTGGAAGTGAGCCACAACATACAGGATGTCACACAATTTTTTGGGAGCTGTTTCAATTCATCTAGTGACCCAGCTTGATACCGAGTGTATAACTTACCATATACAGGCCAACCAATGGGCGATCAGGGCGAAGGTGGCCATGAGCAGCAGCAACACCGCTGCGCCGTACTCAGAGTACCTGTCAATTTTTCTGGCGACTCTCACGAGCCGTAGCAGCCTCGCGGTCTTCAGGAGACCTATCAGCGTCGTTGTCTGTAATATAAAAACAAGGCAGCATTGTAGCACTTTGTTCTTAGGTCCTAGATGTGGAGTAAAAAGTTGTAAAGCTTGGAGGGTACTGATGTCATTATAAAATGGTTGACTTCTACTATATCGATTGTAGCAGTGATTGGTGGGCATGAGACAGACTCTGAATCTCGACCCAGAGGTACAATTTTCCAGGAACATTGTAAAGGTTACTCTCTAATGTAGTTGTGTAGCAATATTTTAATTTTTGTGGGTTGTAATTTTTAGGATATGTTTTGGTGTGTGTTGAAAACAACCAGTACGGTCATTTTCTTAAATACATACACTGATTTATCATCAGATCATCCAATTGGTTATATTAAAGTTTCAAAATGCGCAGTGACACAGAAACTGAAATAGCCAAGATAAATAATTAATAAAAACAATAAACCAAGTAAATCGCAATAAGTCAAGTATTGATACTAAAAAATACAGGGTGTTCCAATATTCCATGTACTCTCTCCTAACTTGCTTAGTTTAGCCGCTAGAGGGTATTAAAGTCGACAAAAAAAATGTAGCTTTCAACTAATTTTGAAACGCCTTATAAGATTTTATTGAAAGGACCCCGTAATAATCTTATGGAAATTGGGTTTCTGTCAAATTGTCTGAATTTTTGATATGTTGTAGATTTTGTCATCCTGAACAAAAGTCTCCATGGGCACAAAGTGCCAAAATGAACATTTTGGCAGCTACGGAGCTGCCAAAGCTCCCCTGATCCGTTGCAAGACCATTCATTTTCAATACTATTTACAGATGTCAAAAGCATATTTTAATTATTCTAATATATAGGGTAATGTTTTTGAGGTCACTGGATTCAACATGTCAGATTGGACAAATTGACCGTTGACAGCTGTCAATACACTGTCAACGAAGAATAGAAAAGTAAATATTCTCTTTTCACATTGAGAGTTTGGGCTTTCGAGGGAGCTGAATTCAATTCTCATGCCAGATTGGCAAAATTGACAGTTGACAGCTGTCAATTGACTGTCAACGAGGAATATAAAAGTAAATATCATCTTTTCACATTGAGAGTTTGGGTTTTTGAGGTCGCTGAATTCAATTCTCATGTCAAATTGGACAAATTGACCGTTGACAGCTGTCAATTCACTGTCAATTCACATTAGTGTATCAAATTTCCATAATATCTTGCATAGTTATCTTAACAAAGTTATTTGAAACAAAGAATATATTTTTTGTCAACTTAGGATATAGGTGAGTTTAGTTAAACCTGATTATTTTTGATAGCAGGAAATTGTGATAACTCCAGGTACACGGATATTGGGACATCCTGTATAATATTTATACCAATTATTAAAACTACTCAATATGTATTAAAAAATCTACTGTGGTCATAATAATTAATTTATAAAAAAGACTACTATAAGAAGCTTGTTCGGTAGGAAGAAGTTAGCAGTATTCGCTTTGCCTTTTTTTTTTACTTCTGTAGGAAAATTATATAACAAAACAGATGTAGGACGACTTAGTTGTTCTTCTGTTTCCTTTTATGAAAGAACTTAATTTCATCTTTTACAAAAGGAAAACTCATAAAAATTAATTAATATAACAGCTACCTTACTTCTACGAATGGCCTGTTTTGTCGTCAAAGCCATTTAATAAAGGTTTCTAATAAGTTTAATTAAAACTGTAATTTCCAAAACTTCGTTTTAAAGGCACAAGACATTGTCTTGTCTTGCTATAGGAAAGAAGTTGATTAGTTATCTCAAACAATGTCGAAAAAGCGGCAAAAGCAAGATTCTATTTATAATTATTTATCATATCGGTCAGAAAAATGAATTTTCTACGTTTTTCAATCGCGAAAATCTGTCCTGCCCAGTTTTGCTACTAGAAATAGATAAGTAACAAATAGTAATGCATAATTATTTTATATTAAAGAATGACCAAAAAACAAATTTTTGAAAAACAAGACAAAACATCTGTTATAACTACTACCATGGGGTATTTCATTTTCATATTTATAAAAACAGTTTCAAACGCCAAATACAGTTTGTCCCAAATTTATTACCTCAGCATTGATATTTCGGTTTGTCCCGGAAACCGAAAACTTTGTTGCTTTGCATTCTTTTTTGTTTGGATTGAATTTCATTTTTGTTCCATTGGATCAGAATACTTCCATGTGGGACTAAAATGAACACAAAACCATCAATAATGCAGTTTTATATGCCCCTATGGCGCAAAAATGTTTTAAAGATCCATTGTTTCCAAAAAATTCTAACCATTATGTTAGAATGTTTGCATCACAAAAATAATATTTCCTTTTATTTTTTGTTGTGAACTCTTGCTCTTCACTATAATGTAGAATACTTTGGAATAGAATACGAGAAATTCCACTTCATCATCTAGTTTTGCTAAAGTTTTGAATGATATCAACAAGACAATAACTCTCTACCTTTATTATTACCAAGAAGTTTTCGACAACTACTTGGAAGCTAAGCTGCCTTTGCTTTGTCATCGTTGAGTCGATTGATGTATTTGAAGTTGCATTTCTTGCATTCCCTTACAGGGCATATCCCAAAGATTCTAGGATAGTATAGTGAAAGGGATATTTTTCGTTTGATTTTCCAATAGTGTATAAACAAATTCAATGATAAAGGTCTCAAACAAACTTTGGGTGTGGTAACGAGATTAAAACACGTTGAAGAATAATTTCTTTAAGCGACGTCCCCGATGATTCTTGCATTTAGACCATATACGAATAAATTCTTATACTATGGAACAAAAGAAACTTCAGGTTCCAGAAACAGAAGAAAATACAGTGCAATAACGATTTCAGTTCCATGTCATGTCTCGTCAGTGTGATTCTAACCCTAAAATGAATAATTTGTGTCCAGTGGGTTAAAATACACGGAAATAGTATGGTTTATTTCCCAGGACAAACCACAGTTTTATTTTATATGTCTATATAGTTCTACTATGAGCATTTATCAGCCTTTCTATAACAACCGATGGATAACAATGCTGATGTATCTAATTGGGCTACACTTTACAGGAAAGGATCGTACATTTATGATAATACTTGCACAGGGCAATCTACAGTTTTCCTTTCATCGCGATTTACTTTCTTGTCATTAATGTATTTGAACGGGAAAAAATCTAGATAAGAAAAGACCTGCGGATAGAAAATGGGCAACCGGAATAACAATTCAACATCGATATAAAAATATGTACGGCTGAAAAAGTTCGACAGATTGTTGTGACTAAAAGTATTTCATAGCAACGAATTGTTTAACAATTTTAAATTTAATTTAATAATACTTTAAAATACACATGTGAATAAGTGGATCAATAGTTTTTCTAGTTCTGTAAGATATTTTACCTTTACATTGTGTCCCATTCAAATAACTATAGCAAGGAAGTAAGGCGGAATAAAAGGAGATTTATAAATCACCATTTGTCAGCTATCAATATTAATATCAAATACTAAAATATTATAATATAATAAAACTTCTCTAAAAAGCAAGACATGCCAGCTAGACGTGCAGTCACAACATTTAGAGGAAATGATAGAACAAGCAAATATATTTGTGGAAATAGTAAAAAATGCATTGTAGGGTCGAGACAAAAAATCCGCCAGAATTTCGATTTCAATAGCACGAAGGATTCGAGATCTTTTAGTGCTTTACATACAAAATTACAAGTATTAAAGGTAACGCGCGAGGTAACGAGTTGTTTATTTTGGCTTTTCAGAATAAACGGTAAAATATATCAAGAGATATATTTGGCCAAATAAAACTATAAATATTTTACAGCCAACTGTTGTTTCAACTTACTTTCTAAATATGAGGTAAAACGCATTTTTACAAAACTTAAGCGTAAATAATATGACAAAATATTAATTAATCAACTTTATCAAATTTTTAGAAATTGAAGAAAATAATGACGATTTAGTAAAATATTTCTATCTCTTTTTGTAAATATATTGGTAAACAGTAATTTAACAGTACCTCATTCAACATCCACTAAAAAACTACAGCGACCTATATTACCTATCGTATAAAAAAGTAAACACATATATTAAACCCATCGAACACTACTATTAGAATGAAAGGCGTGTTCGCTTCGTAAAAGTTAGGAGTGTTCGAATGGACATCCAATAGCAAGCCATTGTTTCAAGTAAAGCACAGACTTATACGTACAGGATCCAACGGAGTTTTTGTCTCGTTATAAGCGACAAACTATTCATAGACTACCTCGTCTTTATCCAAGCCCAACTATAGAAAAGAATTAAATTTCATTTAAAAAATTATCGTCAAAAAAATTCTGGCAAAACAAGTTCATTAATGTTGCAAAACATGACTAGTGAAGTGAATCTTCAATCGGGGTCGACTCGTATGCTTTAAAAAATATTTCGGTACCGCATTGTCTTTCGCATAAACTGAAAAGAAAATCCTGACAATCAAATAGTATACGAACTGGTTTATTCTGGTTTCAAGTACAACTAGGTATATTTGCATATAACCACATCAAATGACGATCAGCTTCGAGGAAATCATAGAACCAAATTTAACTGTTTACAGCGTAGTTAATATATTACTACCTTTGACATAATTTGTCAGCACGTATTTGATATATTACACAACAATTTGAAGCAAAGCGAAATCGGGGAAACAATATGTGCGTTCTGTTTATTACAGTTTAATTCTCTGTTGTAAAGACAAACACAGGGCAAGGTTGAGAATTGTTCGCGAACTTACTATACAAGGCGTTTCAGCGAAGAACGAATCTTCTGTAACTCTGCAACTATAAAATTTATAAAAAAATGGTTTTAATAAAAGTTGCGTGGAATCAGGTGGGCCAAGTAAAGAAAATATTTTTAGCTTTACAGGTTGTTTCATTTCGCGTGGACGCTACATAACTTTGTTATTTTAAATGAAACACCCTGTATATTATTGGATTTTTGAAAGCCTTGGTTAATATTTTACATGGCCCACATAATCCCACATAACTTTTATTAAAACCATGTTTATATCAATGTTACAGTTACAGAGTTACAGAAGAATACCTCTTAGGTGGAACACACCCTGTATATAAATGTATTAGCCCCTCAATTTGAACGCTTAGGAGAAAAACCAAACGTCATAATTAAACGATCTTTGGTAACAGTAGATACTTATTACACATTTTTTCTGAGTTTTACACTAATTTTTCACATACTGTTCGTTTATACAACACTCGAAACTTGCATAAAATTCAGTCACATACTTTGAAATATCGCCTTTCAAAATCTGATATTTATTACCCCCTTTCCGTTTCTAGCAGCGCGATCAATTTCTACCTTTGCCGGCTGACACCGCCATCCTCTGAACCTTCGTACGAAAATATATGACGAGTTGGGCTACTAAAACCCATTCCGGCGTTTTTTATGGCCCGTAAATTTATTATACTTGTACGGGATATTGGAAAGTACTCGTAGTATCCCACAACAGTAATACATGTTTGTTCGAATTGGACGATATAGAGTGCTTATTCTTAGTCGTAAAATATACTTGTAACTTCTATAATATCTCGTCAAATGGGTTCTTTCAGTAATATTTAATTTATCCAAGCCGGTCGCAGGAATTTATGACGTCACACCACTCGACTGGCTGCCCACCAAGGTGTGGTATGACGTCACAACGTGTTTTCCATGCGATTTGCTTGCTCTGTTTTCATTGATTATTTTTAGGGGAAATTGTGCCGAAAAAAGTACTGATTATTTGCAGACCAATTAATTACAATGTGTATTTTCTGAATATGAATTAAAAAAAAACAAATGAGCCCATTAGGAAGAAGAAAAAGGAAAGTTAAAATTTAGGTAAAATTAAAATATCCTTGAGCTGCAACTTTTGTTGTGTTGTATGTTTTTTTTTCACAATCAGATATTTTTTAAAGCATACGGAGTCGCGAACGCTTTTTTTCTGTCAAGTTATGACACCTAAACTACAAGACGTCCTCAAACAACAACAATAAAACAACGAGTGGTATGAAGGTCGACTAAACACGTAGCATTCAATTTTTCACATTTCACCAAAATGCAACATTGAACATCAAATTCTTCGGTAGGGGTCAGCCTGTTTATACGACCGGACTGAATCCTATTGACCGGTAGACAGTTGGCGCCGGTAGAGAGTGCGATGGAACAAAATGATACTTCTGAGGCATCAATGTAAACCAAGAAGCCCCTTTCGGATTGTCCTTTGTTTTTCAATTATACAGGGCGTTTAAATATTAGTGTGCGGTGTTTTACCGGCGCATTCTATGACGAAAATAAGAGGAAAAGTTTATTTGGAGATAGACGGAGAAATCAATTCCAAAAGATATTTTGTTTTACGCAACTTCCTTCTCAGTTTGAGGCGCATATGACAAAAATTGGAAAATATTTTTTTACTGTAAGACTTGTAACATAACAGTAATACTCAGTCCCAAATTTTACTGTTTTATCTCGAATAGTTTAGAAGATATCAGGAAAAACGACTTTCGAGGGCTCACCTTCAATGAGCCCTAGCTCCTTTAAGAAGAATTTCTCGGCCTATGCCCTAGACTCATAGAATACGTTGATAATTTCGTACACACTAATCTCGGTAGGATATTTTTTTTTGAATCCATATTTTTCTTTGATTCCAATAACAACCGAGTCATCAAACCCGGAACATTCNTATCTCGAAAGGTTTAGAAGATATCGGGAAAAACAACTGTTGAGGGCTCACCTTCAATGAGCCCTAGCTCCTTTAAGAAGAATTTCTCGGCCTATATCCTAGACTCATAGAATACGTTGATAATTTCGTACACACTAATCTCGGTAGGATATTTTTTTTTGAATCCATATTTTTCTTTGATTCCAATAACAACCGAGTCATCAAACCCGGAACATTCACTCATTACCAGTTGTTCCATCGCACCAAGTGTGAGCAGGGTAAGAAAATCATTCGAGGATTCAACCCGGTCATGTAAACCAGACAAAGTCTTGGATCATCAAGCTCCCACTTGCCTCATCCGTGTCGGTGCCGAAGAAGAGCAAGTCGAAGGGCACCGCCGCCACCAGGTCGATGAGGAACCAGCCCTTGAGGTAGTGTACGGCGATACGCACCGGGTCGGAGACGATTTCGTCGTTCCCGCTGACGTAGGTCGTCCGGAAGTTGATCAGGATGTCCACTATGAAGGTGACGTCCACTGGAAGATATTGAATATCTAGATTTCTGGTATCGAGGAATATTGTTTGACTTATGCGATATTTTTTTATAAATTATGAATTTGTTTGAATTAATATTTGCGCATTTATTCCTCAATACTGCGTATCGACAAAGACGGAAACAAGCTGAGTAAAGTCAAATACGTAACTTATGAATAGTTGAATATTATTTGTTTATAATCATCTACTGTTACGAGAATTTATTTATTTACACGCATTTGTACAGCAGTGCGAGGATTTAGTATTCTTTGAAATAAGTAATAGAAATCCGTAGTATATTATTTCGCACAGTAATTAAACTGTAAGTAAAATAATATAAATTTAAGTTTTGTGATTTATGACGAGTTAATTTTAACTTGAAATGCAATAAACAGACGCCTTCAAGGTATGTACCAATCTCGCGCGAAAACAATAAACGGAAACAGAAATAGTAAAATTTAATCAAGCGAACTACATAAGGGAAAATGTCTCCAGACAATGGTAGTCAACATGTTTTTAAAATGTCGCCCTTTACAAAACAACGGGCTATAATTTCTCAAGAGGCGCCTATTGATTTTGCCTTAAATTCGTTTCTAGCACGTTCTTACTCGTCTTAAGGGCTGCTTGTTTATAAATTTAATACAGTTTAGTAGAGAGCAACACCATGAAAAATAGCGCTTTCTCGACATGATTATTAAAGTAGTAATTCCAGCTTGGTAGATGTCTAGAAACTTTTATGATATACAGAACAGGTTGTCTAAAACTCTGCAACACTGAAGATCAAAGTGAAACAAACAAGAAGATCTTCATTATGAGAGCATTAAAATGCTTAGATGTCTGCCAAAGGAAAATTAAATCTTTGCTTTCAGTCTCTTTATAGATTTTATAATACTCTCTTCAGTACTTTTAGTAGGGATAAATGTACCTCATTTGGACCAACAATGAAAATTTGCTTCATTTTAAGTAGCTGCATTGTAAATTAATTTAGAAACAAGAGGAATTTGAAATGCCCTAGAAACACATGTTCTGTAACTGAAACACCAAATACATCCGGAAAGTACTTATCTGAGCATTTTAAATCTATGTATTTTGTGTTTGGTGCTCTATCATGACATTATTGGATAAGCAGAGCATATTTAGAACTTTGAAGATGAGCATCATTTGATTAACACACCATTGGTTCAACAGCTTTGATTTGGAGCTCAAAAATTTCCCATCAGGTTACATTGAGAACTCTTTATAACACAGGAATCCATTATCGAAGACTTTTAAAGAACACCTGCTAGATCATATTAACCTGAATCTGATTTGGTATGAGTTCGTTCTTATTAACTGCCACGCACAAAATACTACAAGAGAGTAGTTGTATCATTTTTTTTATATTTGAGCTTATCGGAAGTAAACCTTCCTTCCCTTTAAGTATAAAACAGTTAGAATAACTTCTCTTAAGACTTACAATTACTTTTTTGAAAATTTAGATAGCAAATACATATTTCACGTGTCGCAACCACATAAAATACGTATGAACACTCACCGATTAGGTCAATGATGACTATGGGGTCTTCGCTGTACTTCTTGTTCTTTCGGTTGTTGAAGTCCGGCTCACCGAGGAGAAAGGCCGCCACGTAGGGCGTGAATATCGCCGTGTACATAACCAGGATGAGGATGATCCAGTCCCACACGGCCTTGAAGGGGCTGTAGTGGAGGATGGTGTAGTTGTGGATCTTGGGGTTTTGGAGTTTGTACTCTGGTAGGACGTCGGCGCCAAGGGACAGCACCTGCAAAGGAAGACACATTATCCGCCAGTGGTAAAAGGGATTTTGACGACTGTGTTAAAATAATATGTATTTTTTTAATTCTTTACAGAACACGAGGGAAAACTGAAGGTAAATAATTGCATAAATTAAGCAATTGAAACTATATTGACAAAGGAGAGTCTGTTTATTTCGAGTAAAAGGGATGATGTGCCATTGATCGATATTAATAAACAAATTGCCGTTTTCATAAAAAAATACAAAAGCGTCAAGATCATTCTGAAATTTTAGACAATCAGTAAAACCACGAATGGGTAAAAATAGTTTAAAATCGTCTGCATATCTTAAGACTACAATAATTAAGCCATTCTCTTATATTATTAACATAAATTATAAACAATAGAGGTCTTAAGTAGAATCCTTGAGGCACTCCTGAGAATATCACAGTGAAGTGTGACAGAAATCCGTTAGCTTCAACATATTGTGATCTGTCGGTTAGATATGATTCATCCAGTTCAACAAGTTGTCAACTACATTGACCTCAACAAGCCTGTCTAATTCAATTTTGTCGAAAGCTTTACTAGATTCAAAAATTCGAAAAGTGCTTTCTAGAGGAATGTCTTGATGTTAGGGTCAAAACACAAATTGACCCAGGAACAATGTCTTTATATTCGGATGGATTCATTTTTTGTGGTGCTGCGTAAATATAACAACACGCAAGTACTATTTTCTTGATTGAAATATTACTCTTAACATTTACTTACATTACATTTAAGGGTAGTAGGAAAGGGTAACTATGTATAATAAAAAAGCAAAAATTTATTCGCCAAAATAAAACAGCTGTTACAAAACTAGACTAATTTGTTTCCCTATTAATTTTTTTTTAATTATTTTGTTGTGCAACCATGTCCTGTTTATAGCTATGCTGTAGAAGAAACAGAACTTACAGAAAAACTGACACTAGCAGTATTTTGAATGGGTCCAAATATACAGCGTGGTAAAAAAGTTCTGCATAAAATTCATATTTTCGTTAAACAATTTTTTTTCGAAAAACGGTGAGACCCGTCGATTTTGATTTGATCCAGGGCACCTTGTTATGTGGAAAAATTTTTTTTCGATAATCCACTTACGGCAGCGATGACATAATTTTTTTTTTTAATGACAACGCATATTTTTTTCGTTCGAAATTG